GTACAACTAACCCTATCTTTAGAGCTCCGCACGATAATGAGGAGGTCACCCAGCATGTCGTCCTGAATGAAAAGGCTATGGATGCCGATTTGGACAAGGAGAACCAGATCACCCCGGATGGCGGCGAACCCACTCTCTCGGAGAAGGCCTCCCTGCGCCATATCGCTGAGAACCTGCCCCTCTCCGCCTGGTTAGTGGCTGTTGTCGAGCTGTGCGAACGTTTCACCTACTACGGAATGTCTGGTCTGTTCCAGAACTACGTCCAGCGACCTCGGGATGGTAGCGAGGGACGTGGTGCGCTCGGTATGGATCACCAGGGTGCTACCGGTCTCACGACCTTCTTCCAGTTCTGGTGTTATGTTACCCCCATCCTCGGTGCCATCATCGCCGATCAGTATCTCGGCAAGTACAAGACCATTGTGCTGTTCTGTATCGTCTACATGGTTGGTCTGCTCGTCCTCGTCTGTACCTCCATCCCCACGGCCCTGGAGCACGGCTCGGGTATCGGTGGTTTCATTGTCGCCATCTTGATCATCGGTCTGGGTACCGGTGGTATCAAGAGTAACGTGGCTCCTTTGATTGCCGATCAGTACAAGCGGAAGAAGATGGCCATCACCACCACCAAGAAGGGTGAGCGCGTGGTCATTGACCCCGCCCTGACCATTCAGCGTATCTACATGATCTTCTACGGATGCATCAACCTCGGTTCGCTCTCCCTTCTCGCCACCCCTTACATGGAGCTGTACATCGACTTCTGGCCCGCCTACCTTCTCTGTCTCTGCATGTTCATGGTCGGTACCCTGGTCATCGTTCTCGGCCGCAAGTTCTACGTTGTTCGCCCGCCCCAGGGCTCCATCATCACGGACGCTTTCCGCGCCCTCTGGATCATGATCAAGAACCGCAACATGGATGCCCCCAAGCCCTCATGGCAGAACGAGCACAATGGCACGTCGGTTGTCAACTGGGACGACCACTTCATCGACGAGCTGAAGCGCGCCCTGGTCGCCTGCCGCGTGTTCGCCTTCTACCCGATCTACTGGGTTGTCTACGGACAGTTCTCCGGCAACTTCGTCACCCAAGCCGGCCAGATGGAAGGCCACGGCATTCCTAACGATCTGATGCAGAACTTTGACCCCATCTCTATCATTGTTTTCATCCCCATTCTCGAAACCTGTGTCTACCCCGTGATGCGCCGCCTGAAGATCCCCTTCCCCCTATCACCCGTATCGCCCTTGGCTTCATCGTCGCTTCGCTTGCCATGATGTACGCCGCTATCGTGCAGCACCTGATCTACTCCGCTGGTCCCTGCTACGGCCACCCTCTCTGCGCAGCCTCCGAGGTCGATGGCTCCGCCCAAGGCAACCGAGTGCACATCGCCATTCAAACCCCGGCCTACGTGTTCATCGGTATGTCTGAGATTTTCGCCTCCGTCTCCGGTCTCGAGTACGCCTACACCAAGGCACCTCCCAGCATGAAGTCCTTCGTGCAGTCGATGTACCTCCTCACGAACGCCTTCGGATCCGCTCTCGCCGAGGCCCTCACTCCCGCCGCCTTCGATCCCGCCATCATGTGGATGTTCACCGGTCTTGCCTGTGCATCCTTCTTGTGTGGTCTCATCTTCTACGCCATCTTCCGTCACCTGAACGCGATTGAAGATGACATGAACGCCCTCGATGCCGATGACGACATTGTCGCCGAGGCGGAACGGCGCCAGTCCAAGGAATAATAAACCTTGGGGAACTGGTGTTTTTGTAATATTTTGTTCTTTCTTCTTTGGGCATTGGCATTCGCATTGTTAGCATCTCTACGCTGGGATTGTACTTTTTCTTTCATTACTTGCATCATCGGAGCAGGACCCTCTGTGTGTTCTAAAACTGCTGTGCAGATCGTGAGACGTGGTATGATATGATGCTTTTAATTTAGTATATATGAATCATAAATTTAAATGAAAATAATCAATACATATATGAAACACATCTACTCCACATCTTATCTTTATTCTAAGAATTATCAATGTATACTACGGAGCACCACATTCGGTTTCCTCGTGGTATAGTAATTCCTAAACCTCAAACGTCTCCATCGCCGCCTCGGCTACCCCACGCCAGTGTGCAACTCAGTCTTGCGCCTGACCGCGGGGAGACACCTCCACAATAGCACGAATGTAATTCCCTGCCGTCTACATTGGCTCTTGAAGTGGATCCAACTCCATATCTTCGAGGATCTTTCCCGCTCCCTTTTCATGACAGATGGATCCAAAGAGCTTTTTTCATACGTGTCTGGTCCTCTTTATCCTTCGGGGGACCATTTCATATTCCACAAAAAGGCACGAGGTGGGTTGGCAAAATGGAGATCTTTATGTGCGAGGACATAGATGACCTGATTAAGTTGTTCGACACGTTCCTGAATAGCAGCAATGAAAGCGCGAATCTTCTGAATGAGGTCTATATAAGATTCAAGCGAGGAATGCTTTTGAATGGTGTAGATGTAGCAATCAAGACAACCTGATGGTGAAGGCCACGAAGCTGGCGAAACCCTGAGAAGGAATGGGGTTGGCAAAATAGCCGTCCCAAGTATGTTTATGAAGCTCGATCAGATAGTACGCACTGAGCCATCGGTATTGACTGGAAGCACGGAGCTGCTTGATGTATGAATCTGGGTGACTGCTGTAAAATGGATTAAATAAATAGAATGAAGCCCGCTATGACTTGGAGAGGTTTAATTGAGGTTGGAATGGGGAGATCCAGAGACACGATCAGTTGACTGATCGCGTCGGTGCCCAGCGCTGGAGGAAGATAGTTGCCTGGGCCGCTCATTGCAAAGGACGAGTTTACAGATTCCCAATAAGGGACCTCGGGAGGTGATCTGCAGTTGTTCCAGAGGCTCAGCTGTCACGATTATGGTGGGGGGGGGCTGAAGTTGAGACTAGGGTGAGAAATGGCGCTAATAAACCCATACAATGCACAACATGTTATACGCGAAGTACAGCCTGGCTTACGTTGACAAACTACATAGCTACGGTATACTAGAACTTGTGGCATGGTATATGGCGACAATAGACTTTCCATTGTCGTCGAAATGCTATGGTAACAACGCCCTCGTGTGATGTATAGTCGAATTGATTCTGGTAGCGGCTCACCTTACATATAGCCTGTTCCCACCCGAATCGGAAGTCCGAGCTCCTTCCATGCTTCCACTTCTATCCCACCATGCTCATAGCCATTGTGCGAGGGTTTCCTGTTGATTTTCACGTGTGATAGATGTACCATGCTGCGATAAACCTCGACGATTTGCCTTGATTGTCATTGAGATGGTTTTCATCATGGCCCATGATCAAAAGAAGGAACCATGCATATGGTTTGGACCGGAGCTACCGCACTCCAGTGCTATAAATGAGAATTTTCAGGTGTTCTTGGAGAATTGTGGGTATGGATCGAGAGTTTTCAGAAGGACTCGGCTTCCATTGGAGTTGGGTAAATAAATATAGGCAGCGTTCTCTCAACTGGAAGAAGCAATGAATGTCCTAGTACAAGAGCCACCCTGAGTCAAGAAGGGCCGTTGATAGAGTTCCCTTGTCATGTCGAAGGCAACTCCTCAGACAGATGTCCAGGTGATTGAAGTTGAGACCCTCGCATGAGACCTACTCCACTCACTAACCTCAAGAAGCTCAGCTCCCGAGCACAAGCTAACTTGCCTGCGATGTGCCTATACGAAAACCGTTAGTTGAAATTCATGGCAACCTTCGAATATCCCTTGAGACTTTAGCTAAGTACATGTGGTGGATGCGTCCGAGCGGCTGTGGGGTAAAGAGAGAGAGAGAGAGAGAGAGAGAGAGAGAGAGAGAGAGAGAGAGTGCGTGTGTGTGTTGGAGGTGAAAAGGAGGGGTATTTGTGTCCACGTGAACAAACATGTAACGAGTTACCGGTTTAGGCACCATGGCCAGTTAGTAGTTAGTAACTAGTTAGTAGCCATTATGACTTCTATATTTTATGATATTCCTTAATATTTTCCTATATAAACCTGGTTAGCCTCGCGGTGATATACCTCGATCAGGCAGCCATACTTATGATGCATTCTATATGTAAAGGCATCAATATTATAGATCTGACATCTTAGTTCTATACATTAAACAAATACGGAGTAGATAACTTTAGTTGATGCCTGGGATGAGGCTCATAGACCCCAAATGTCCTGATTGGTCAAGTTTCACGAGTTCCACGTCCGATTTTCAGCTTAGATTCCCTATTTGGATTCCTTATTTAGGTTCCCTAAGTTAGGTTCCCTGCGCATGCTATTTCCGACTTGCCTCCCGGACAAGGTAACAGCATTTGAAGTGCTGACTGGATTAGATTCCTATTGGAATCTGGAGTTAACATACATAGGTCTTTCATCAAGTTGATACATCATAATCATGACGTGCAGACTCCCGTTGTCATTGCCACGGCCAGACCCTGAAAACAAGTACTAGGTACCTCTTCAAAGGTGGGTATTACCTATCAAAGTCAAGTACCCGGTACCTTGGAAAATATATCCTACCTCTATGCCGATCCACTCCTGGTCATCAAATCACAATCTGCGACGGTGTCTTAAATAGAACAGGCTCAGCCACACAGGGTGAATGGTCAATCTCGACTCCATACCTGTAGTATCCCGTATTAATGTAGGAACAACGGTGCACTGTCCACTCTGTAGGAAATTGTTAAAAATAGGGGGGACCCCGAAAAACAATCAGTAAATTCGAAGCCCATGAAATTTATGAAACTCATGAAACTCCATTAAACCCCATTAAACCCATCAAGCCCGTTTAATTTCCCAAATTAATGCTTAATTTCGCTATTCAGCGCGACTAACACCCGGACCTTATTGGCTTTGCTGTCCTGACACCGCCAGCACTTCTGCCGCAACCTCCACTTCTCCCGTCTCACCCTTCCCTCCTTCATCTCCCCCCCTACCATTCTTGTCTTGTTTCACGCATCTGAGAACCTGAGAATCTGCACATCATGAGTGTGAGTGAACCAATGTCAACCTCCTTGATTCCCTGAATCTGCTTTCTGACGCGACTTTCCCTAGTACCAGAGCTTAGGGGATAACAACTCAGGCGGCTACGGCCAGTACAACCCGTACGGAAGTCAGCAACAGAGCAATCCCTATGGGGGCCAGGAACAGCAGGGCTATGGATATGGCGCTGGCTACAACCAGGCTGGTGCCGCAGAGCAAGGAAATGGTGGCTATGGTATGCTGACCCGATAATCAAGTGCCTTGCGACGATTTTAAGATGCTAATTGCTTGACAGAAATGTCCAACGTCAACCAGGCCTCATCTGGTGGACCCACTGCGATTCTGAACAAGTGCAAGGAGATGAACGAGGGCATCGCCGAGCTGACCAAGAAGCGCGAGACCCAGTTGGTCGCCGCCCAAAAGGCTCTTTTGGACTCAAGCACCGGCAAGGAAGACCAGGCCTCCCGCCAAACACTCGACTACATTGAGGATGAGATCAACACTGCGCTGCGCTACCTGCGCGATCAGTTCAAGCGCATCAAGGAAACCCCCGGATCCGGTGACTCGCGCGTGCAGGGCCAGGTCGAGAACGTCAGCCGCAACCTGCGTCGTGAGATTGAGCAGTACCAGCGCGCACAGAGTGACTTCCAGAAGCGCCTGGAGGAGCAAGTGCGCCGCCGATACGAGATTGCCAACCCAGAAGCTACCCCCGAGGAGTTGGAGCAGGGTGTGCAGAATGTCCTCATGGGACAGGAACAGAGCTTTGTTGTATGTTTTGCCTGAAGGGAATCTCCTTTTTTTAGTGGTCAGTTGCTAATATTTGAGAAATAGGTTCCCGGTACTCGCACTCGCCAGGCCAACGATGCCCGTCAGGCTACTCTGCAGCGTTCCGCCGCCATCCGAAAGATCGAGCAGGATTTGATTGAACTGAGCCACCTGTACAATGAGGTCGCAGAGCTGGTGCACCAGCAGGAGCCTGCAGTTCAGCAGATTCAACAGGGAGCTGAGGAGACACACCGCAACGTCGAGCAGGCCAACACCAAGTTGGACACTGCTATTCAGAGTGCAAAGAACGCTCGGCGCTGGAAGTGGTATGCACTGATTATCATCCGTAAGTATTTACCTGTCTGCACACCACGATCTGGCCGACCCGCTAACCTAGTTATCCAGTCATTATTATTGGTATCGTCGTCGGTGTGGCCGTCGGTGTCACCAACGCCAACAAGAAGTAGTGATCTTTGCACACTACGTCCCTTTCCTACCTTCTCCTTGTACGACCTTTCCCGGGGATCGACGCATCTCCGCATCTTCCCATTTGTTCTTTGTCCCCTCGTTATACCACCCATTCGCATTCTCCTTCTTGTGTAAAAGCAATCTCTTTCAACCCCTCTTTTCTTTTGTGTCTTTGCCTCCTAGCTGTACCTGCTTGTTCGTGTACAGCTGCTCCGCGCCTAACATGCGATGGCTCTTGATGATTGTCGCTTCGGGGCTCATGATGTCGCGGCGCATGGATGTATATACTAGAGTGTGTTGCTTTCCTTGGCCCCCCTGTCTGGCGTTAGAACCTATGTAATACTGTCTAATAATCGATCCCTTCACGCATGAATCTGATGTATACCGCCTGTAGTCGAGTTTTGAAATCGTAGGTGATTTGTGCAGTGTAATTGTGTCATGCATTTCGAGTCATGGTCTGGGGGTATCTGACTCGACAAGACTCTTTCAGAATAAGGAACACCTGAACGCCGAATCAATCAGCTATCTATGCCTTCTCCTTCCTCTCTTTCTTCTCCTGTTCCTTCCTCTCTTTCTCGCGCTGCTCCTCGGCTGGTGTCTTCGTCTTCAATTGCAGTGCATGTAGTCCGCCCTCACGAGCCATCTCTTCCTTGAGCAATGCGTAGACCATGCGGTGTCGAGCGGGTTGCATCTTCGACTCGAAGGAATCAGAGACAATTGTCACGCTGCGGGATATTAGATATTTGCTGGTGCACCGTGTATGTTTGGATGTGGAGGAACGAACTGGAAATGCGTCTCCTTGGACACCGACCCCTCCATTGCAGCGTGGTGCGCATGGAGGTGAGAGTCATTCCGGATCTCAAGTTTGGAAGGTGTGAATGCGTGAGCGATCTATATAAAAAAAAAGAGGAGATATATTAGCAATTGTGGTCAACAACAAAGCGGAGTGGCTCACCTTGTCGCGCATGACATCCTCCAGCGGGGTATTGGAAGCCATCCTAGCAGAAACAGAGAAGAGACGGCGAGGGATCAGACCCGGAAGACTGCGAGGAAGCATTTAGAAGAAAAGAGAAAAAAGAAGCGATCAAAGGAAGGTAGGAGGAGGAGAGAAACGTCCGCAATTGAAGCCAATCGGATGTTTTCGATTTCGGAACTTCACTCTCATGACATCAACCTGTTTTTCCCCTCGACACCTCAATTGCTCCTCTTTTTGCTTGATATGGGGTGTATGCTGTGAGATGAATCACTAAAATTAAAGATTCGAAATTCAAAATGTCTAGCAGTTTGCTCTCTCTGCTTTCGCGTTCCAATGCGCGCATCTGCTTCACTCCGCGGCGAACACCTCTCAGCGCGAGACTCTTGTCAACTCTCCCCAACACACATATCTTCCGCGCACTCCAGAACCATGACCCTGAAAGTCTAGCGGTTGTGCATAGCGTCTCTTCCCGATCATTCACCTACGGTAGTTTAATTGCCGACATCGTCCGCGCTAAGGACGATCTGGAACAAAAGGCCGCGAAAGCGCAGGGCCAATTGGCTGGCGAGCGGGTTGCCTTCCTCGCGGAGAACAGCTATGACTACGTAGGTACTGTTGTCTTGAACACCCAAGACTATATATAGAATACTAATAGGCATATAGTGACGCTGCTGGCGATCTTTGCTAGTGATGCCATTGCCCTTCCGCTCTCGCCGTCTTTCCCGACTGGGGAGCTGAAGTATATCCTGGATAATTCACAGGCTAAGATGCTGCTGACAACTGAGAAGTATGCTGATAAAGGCATGGAAATCCTGCGAGAGGGATTGGAGCACGAGCCTCTGTTTGCTATCCGAAATAAACTCACAGAGGGCGCATCGAGTCGCGAGAGCGTAACCTTGCATGATCTGAAGCAGCCTTCTTCTGGTGGGATGATGTTGTACACATCTGGGACCACGAATCGACCGGTAGGTTCAGTTAATTCCCTACACCAAAGGAACTCGGCCTAACTTGAAACAGAAAGGTGTTCTGATCCCACAATCGGCACTGGCCGCGCAAGCATCTTCACTACTAGAAGCATGGAAGTATACACCTGATGACCGACTTCTCCACCTGCTCCCACTTCACCACATCCACGGCGTGGTAAATGCAATCGTGGCACCGATAGTAGCAGGGTCATCAATCGAGTTCATGTACCCCTTCAACCCGGACAAAGTCTGGAAACGACTAGCAGCACCCTTCCTCCCATCCAACACCTCAAAATCACCCATTACATTCCTCACTGCCGTGCCAACAATCTACAACCGCCTCATGGCCACCTTCCCCAATCTAACCCCTGAGCTTCAAAAGGCCTCAAAAGAAGGAATCTCCCCACAAAACCTCCGACTGAACATCTCCGGCTCCGCCGCTCTCCCAACCCCAACAAAGACAGCCTGGACAAACCTCAGCAATGGAAACGTCCTCCTCGAACGTTTCGGTATGACCGAAGTCGGCATGGCGATTAGCTGCGGCCTCGACGGCGCAGACCGCGTCGACGGCAGCGTGGGCTGGCCACTCCCAGGCGTCGAGGCCCGACTTGCTGATCTCGAGACGGGTGAGGTAATCCCAATCGAAGAAAATAATCCCAATGGGCGAGAACGCGAAGGCGAGATCCAGCTTCGCGGCGAAACAATCTTCGACCATTACTGGGGAAACGAGAAAGCCACACGCGAGAGTTTCGTGCAGAGTGACGATGGAGGCAGAGCGTGGTTCTGTACAGGCGATGTCGCGACTCGGAGGGTAGTTGACGGAGCTGGTAGTGGGGCGAGCGGAGCTTGGGCTCAGGGACCGATGTATTTCATCCAGGGGCGGAAGAGTGTTGATATCATCAAGACTGGAGCTGAGAAGGTTAGCGCGTTGGAGGTCGAGAGGGAGTTACTTTCTCTGTATGTTGTTTCTCAGCGGGTTTCATTTGAAATATCTATACTGACGATTTTGCTCTAGTCCCCAAGTCACCGAAGCTGCGGTCGTTGGTCTCCCTTCTGAACAGTGGGGTCAGAAGATCGCTGCTGTGGTTGTTCTTGCTCCTGATGCGGCCGCTTCGGGTCGTAATGGTCAATCGTGGGGGCCCATGGATATGCGGCGCGCGCTGAAGAATTCTCTTGCTTCTTTTAAGATTCCGCAGGAGATGAAGGTTTTGGAGGCTATTCCAAGGAATGCGATGGGGAAGGTTAATAAGAAGGCACTTGTGAAGGAGGTCTTTGGTATTTGAAGATCGGACACCCACACTGTACAATATTGAACATCTACCTGGACCTAGAGTTGAGGTGAGTGATGAAGATCTGTGGGCGTATTTACTCTCTACTCGGGAAAAACATGTACAATAGTATCCAGCAAAATATATTGAAAAATTAAATCATTTATTGTGTCGATAAAAAAACAAAATTGCTTGCTCCTAATTTCAAATTCGTAGCATCATGTCAAGACCTGCGTGTCCTATCCTTTCCCATAAAAATGGAAACCAAACTCCAATTCTCAATGTCCCTAGATCTGACGGTGAAGACCCTCATTCTGAGCACGGGCAGCATCCGAGTCGACACGGGGATCAAGCTTGTTGGCGATGCTTGAACTATGAGGACCGGTAGTACCGGTGGTAGTTCCAGCAGGAGGAGTATTGTAGCTACTACCAGCAGGAGCATCGTGATGGCTAGCAGTACCAAGACCAGAGCCACCAATCGCCGAGCCAACAGTAGCACCGCGAGTGTGGGAACCGTGGGTAGTAGTACCAGTGCCAGTACTACCAAGGGTAGATTGCTGCTGAGGACGGGTGTCACGATCCGAGTCAACGCGGGGATCAAGCTTGTTGGCGATGTTAGAGCTGTGAGGTCCAGCATTGGTGCTGCTGCTTCCGGGGGTAGCAATGGGAGCGCTACGAGGAACACCGGTTCCAGAGCCGAAGGCTGAGCCGTGAGTGCCTGTGGCAGTGGTGTCGTGAGTAGAACCAAGGCCGGCGCCAGTGCCAGTCAAACCAGAGGTACCATGGGTAGTGCCATGAGCAGATCCAAGGCCAGCACCGGTGAGACCCTCGTGGCGAGCACGGTTGTCACGGTCAGAGTCGACGCGGGGATCGGCCTTGTTGGCGATGTTGGAACTGTGGGGGCCGACATTGGTGCTACCAGTAGTGCCGTGGGTAGACCCGAGACCAGCGCCAGTACCAGTTACACCAGAGGTGCCATGGGTAGTGCCATGAGTAGATCCAAGGCCAGCACCGGTGAGACCCTCGTGGCGAGCACGGTTGTCACGGTCAGAGTCGACGCGGGGATCGGCCTTGTTGGCGATATTGGAACTGTGCGGACCGACATTGGTGCTACCAGTAGTGCCGTGGGTAGATCCAAGACCAGCGCCGGTGCCAGTCACATCTGAGGTGCCGTGTGTAGTGCCAGAACCTTGAGTAGCGCCGTAGGTAGTGCCGTGAGTGCCGTGAGTGCCGTGAGTGCCTGTAGCAGTTGTGGTGTCCCGGGAGGTTCCAAGACCAGCACCAGTCGCATCGGTGTGAGCAGCACGGTTGTCTGAGGTAGTTAGTATCATTGAATACCCCCGAGGCATGGGAGATAAAAGGTGAAGTGGATGACAAACCTTTATCACTATCGACACGGGGGTCAAGCTTGTTGGCCAAGTTGGAAGAGTGAGGTCCATGGTTGGAGGACTTCGTCGATTCGTGAGACTCGCCCTTCTTGCCAGTTATGGCCTCTTCAGCCTTGCGTACAAACTGCATGTTGATATTGATGGTATTGATGAAAGTTGTTTAATGTTGAAGTGAAGTAAATGGTGGAATATGGTTGATGAAGGTAAGAAGTGATTTCCCCAGATCGGGAAAAGAAGAGGGTATTTATATCCCGTTTGTACATCGACGCACTAAAGCAAACATTAGGATTCATGACGTTCGTATTTTCAATGTGATGGTGTACAAACATCCACAAAGTAGAACAAACGCCTTGAGGTGTCACGATGTACTATTGCGTATGATGTACATGAGATGAGCTTCCTATTAGCTACATAGTCAGCCACTTAAATCAACTTATTGTCATTAAAAGGGCTAAACTGGCACTCATCCTTGATCTGCTAAACGCCATAGACCGAAATCCCAAACAATTGCGTCATGATCGAGGCCCTGCCAAGAAGTATGCCAACTATATGCAACTATATGCACCTGGCCAGGTATTGTATTAAACATATCCTGGTCAATTCTATAGCCAACCAGCATAAACTGGAATGAGATCACTGTGGCTAAAACTTCGTATTTTGCTCTTACACTGTCTCATCTTGGTTGTACATTACCTCGTACATCTGTACCCCGGGGCTGTGATAGGGTATGGAAGTAAAGACAACGAAAGACAGGTTCTTTTATTTGTTTATTAGTGGAGCTACAGCCCAGCCAATAGCTCAAAGGATCATAAAATCTATTTATCCATAAAATATAAACTCTAAGACTGCCAGTGTGCCTGAGGTTGTTGTCGCGTGGTTACGTCATCGAGATATATAGTTCCCAGTCACATGACCAGTCATCTTCCTCTCTGCTTTTACTCTCTTCTTCGTCAAAGTGACATTGACCATGATATTACAATATTCCCAGAAAATACAAAATCCACAAATCCTTCATATGTGGTAGTTGCTCAGCATGGACCATGTGGGATGAATTTTTCAAATCTCTTGGTACCTTTATCCCTTCATACCAGGCCCTACAAATACCAAATCCCGAAGCTCGATTTGGTGAGCCGCAATTTTATGAGACCAATAGAAGGCCTAGGATTTGGTTATCCAGATTGGTACTATAAAGCCACTTTATCCTTGACTGACGAGCGGCGAAGTTCTAGGTCTGCCAGCGCTTGAATCAGATCTCCATCTATACGTGCTCTAGGTGAGATTAGTAGCGTTGGTAGCTTCAGCCATTACAGGGCAAATCCAATATATCTGTAAGGCCTTGCTGAGCGATAGTATTGCTTATGCCACTATGGCTGAGAGTATATCAATCCAGAATGTTTTTCGAGGTTTGTCACGCAACGACCATTCAAAAACCCTTTCTACTTAACTCATCTATAGGATCATTCAACATAACCACTGGACGCTTTTGAGAGCGTCTCGCTGTATAGTCTTCCAAGAAGCAGCATGTTCCAATGCCAAGCTCAAGGATCTAATCGAGTCACATGTTCTTCACCCTGCTGGATCGAACAAGCAGCTAGACTCGATAAAATATCAAATCGGCTGGTGCTCGTATCCCTTTGAGACTCCTGTTTCCCAAACCATTACACCACCTTCCAATTAAGAAGTGCACTTGCAATCATCGTGAACCAAATCGCCTCCTTCACTTTGGAATTTCCTGGCCCAGCTAGAGCAGCGATGATGACTATTACTGCCACCAAATATATCAAAGGCCTCTCAGTTGGCAATGATCTGGACACGAAATATAGACATACTTCCAGGGTATTCGCCTTGATCACACGACCACCCCCCTGGTCAATCGAGATGAGGTTGAAAAAGACTCCACCAAATCTGCTGATGTCAGCATCCGGTCCGATCCGAGGGACGCGTCCGAGATAGAAGCTGTCCGCGAAGTTACATGGACAATCTGAATCCGGCAACTCAGATCTGTGGGGTTGCAGTTCTAATTTCCTAGGGATCTGTGCTGTCAGGCATAGATCTGGCATTTTCCCCCTTGCTTGCGACCCCTGACCTTTTCACATTCATGTTTCAGCGCGACATTTACATTGAAATTGTGGAAAGGAGTATCCCTTGCAACCAATCATAAATACAAGCTCTTCCCAGGCACCACAGTCTTTCGATCTGAAGATTCCGGTACCCCACGGGTCGCATTAGACGCCACCATGTGGATTCTCTCGTTCTGGCTTTTCCCCGTTATATCTGGGTGCATGTGGATAGGTAAGGGGAAAATACACGAGGAATTGAGCTTACTTTACTAACAGCCTTGTAGCTACACTAGTAGCCATGCTGTCCACTTGGGCGGCGGACGGGAAGCCAATATATACCACCATGAGCGAAGGGCTCACCATTCCGTGAGTCTCAACAATGAACCTCTCGACAACATAGACTGAGTCAATTGAACAACCAGTTACATTTCCCATATCGGAGCCGAGGGACTCAAACCGCTGTTCATTGCAGGCAGTGTAGTAACAGTCGTCTTCATGGATCTCGGTCTCCTCTCTGAGCGATGGCTTCGCCATGCCGGCCAACTTGCCCGAAACAAAGGGAGGTTCGACAAGACCTGTGCCATTGGGTCCATTTTTTTCTCAATCGCTGGGGCTCTAGGTCTCATTCTCCTATCTATCTTCGACACAAAGCACCACAATAAGCTCCACAACGGGTTTTTGGGTATGTTCATAGCGAGCTACGTGGTTTGCGCCATCCTGGTGTGTCTGGAATACATCCAAATCGGCCGATTCTACCACCCACAAGCCCGCATCTTAATAGTCAGCTTCGCGATCAAAGCTCTTTTCGTTATCTGCGAACTCGGTGTCGCAATTGCATTTGGCGTCTGCATGAAATCTGGAAATAAGAAGAACGCAGCAGCTGTTTGTGAATGGGGTAAGATTTCAGCCCTGTTTGATTGTAGGAACAGATGCTAACCCGAACCAGTTGCCGCCCTTATATTTGCATTCTTTGTCTTTTCTTTTGTCATTGATCTCCTACCGTCTGTTCGTACCAAGAGACACGTCCCTCAGGGTGAAAAGTATCCTAGGCCAGTCGTGGCGGATCGTCCAGTTGACTTTTAGGTAGTACAGTCTGACCTAACAATCCATAATTAATCACATACATACCCGTGGATATGATAATAGCTTTTGCCAATAAGAGACCAGTGTTGGATTTTGGCCACATGTGGTGATATCATCCATTCTGGGGAAAAAGGGAAGAAAACCCCGAGCTTCTCGCAAAACAACTCTCCAAACAATTCAATCATTGATTTCAAGAGAATGGTAAATTAAAAACTGATTCTCAACATGGGCTTCTTCAAACATCCCTGTGGTGCAATCTCAACAATTGCCCATATCATCCAGTGCATTAGTTCATTCATCGTCCTCGGAATCACAGCCTGGGCAGTCCGCGGGACCAAAACCCTTACAGTGATCTTCTCCTTGGTGGTGGTACATCACTCCAACCAGATCTTAATATCTTCATATTGTAGAAATTCTAAAATCTTGACAGGCGGTCCTGACTCCGGTCATCTACGGCATAACACTAAGCACTAGTTGCATTACCAGACGTCGCAGATGGCATGTTCTCCCTCTGATGCTGACCGACGCAGCAATTTCCTACCTGTAAGTATAACAATATACGTTTATCGTAGTAAATACTCATCTCCTATCTAGCTGGCTCACTGCATTCATCTTCCTGTCTCTGAATTTCAACCACGTCAGCTGCAATGTCCACCTCTGGAACAGACAGACGGTATGTAGCCGAAAGTATTCGGCCGAGGCATTCAGCTTCATTGCGTTGTAAGTGACATTCTTTCGAAAACGATGCATCCATTGGCTGATTGCATAGCAGCTTTGCTACACTCATGGCTCTGGCCTTCGAGATTTTGTATACTTACCTCCCGAAGAACGATACCCCAGTGCGGGAGAAGCAAAATGGGGTGACAAACTTGGAGGATAACCTCCGGGGTGCTGGGGTGATGAGTCCTTGAACAGAAAGTGCCTGCGAATGCTTCATAGCGATGCTCTCCAGGGCGTAAAATCCTTGAATTATGTAAAAATTGGCAATGCCTATTGGAGATGCATATAATACATTATTGTACAAGTTGGTCATTCAAACCTAAGCTCAAGCCCATTCGCCCTTCCTCTCAAATGGCTTCACAAATTCAGTCGCTTCCAAAGTCACCTGTAGAGATGCCATATCGATAGCTGTAATATGAGCTTCGACCGTGCAGAAGATATCGAGCTTATCTTTATCTGGGAAATCCTGGGGGATGGTGACCGAACAGTTCACACCGAGACTGGTGATGACGCCGGCATACTCCTCGTCCAGATGTCTAGGTTTCATGCGCGGGGTGCGTAGCAGACATGGGAATGTGACGGGGAGATTGCACTCGGAGAAGTAGAATGCGCGGAAGAGGAGCATACAGGCCCAGTGCTGTGCGGAGTATTTGTCGAGATTTCTGAGACGTCTGCGCAGGGGCTGGGAGTAGATTAGGTGGGCGTCGATGTCGGATTTGGAGAAGGGGAGGAGAGCGGTGGGAGTGGTGTTTGTGTCATTGGTGGTAATTTGAGTAGCGGTCTCTGCTAGATCTGTCTCTGCCGGGTCTGTTTCTACTAGATCGATCTCTGCAGGATCGGGACTATCAACAAGAGCGTCAAACTGACGGCCATGTTCATGCTCGAAACGCAATGCTGCCTCGATCTGGTAATGCGCAATAACATCCGTGTATCGACGCAGCGGACTGGTACTCTTGACGTACGTATCTAAGCCCATGGTGTGGTGCTTAGTCGGGGTTGTGGAAGAGTAGCCCAGTGGCACGCTGAGCTCATAGAAACCTTCACCGCCGAAATTGGCCAGGTTTTTGTTGGTAACCCGTCCGTACTCCGGATCGTACCAAGTGCCGTCGTAGACAACGGGAATATTGCGTGCGGCACAGAATTGGCCGGAGATGTGCCCGGCCAAATTCATGATCAGGGAGACCAAATTGTCCCGCGATTGGTCGCGAACGTCGTATGGATCGTATGAATGCACATTGAGCCGGATGATTGGGTCACCGAGATAGTGGCGCCCGGTTGTGGATTGTAAATCGTACGGCGGCATCGGGGCGTTACCTGACTGGACTGAAACAGAAAGCTGTGGGCTAAGAGGAGTGAGGTCCATGGCGCCGTTCTTTCTACGGGTTTGGCGGAATGCGAGCATGAGTTGACGCATGATGTGGAATCTATCTTTATCCTCGGGCCGCAGGCTTTGTTGGATTGTTTTACCATGTGGTACTGGTGGTTCGGTGAACTCGCCACCTATGGTAAAGGATTCCAACTTTTCTTCGGAATCGGGGTCGAAGAAGTCGCGCAGTGTTTTGTGAGTGAGATTGATGACATTGTGGATTGTCCCGTTCTTGATCTCACTATCCAAGATCTCTCCTCGAAGATTCATCTTCGCACTGAATGTGAGTACTGGCCGGCCAGCCGCCAAACTAAAGTGAGGCTCGGTGAGAGTCTTGGGAAGCATGGGATAAGTGCGTTCCGGGATGTAGGAGGTGAAGAGTCGTGAGGCTGCATACTGGATGATAGGGTTATCATGCTCAATAAAGGCTGTTGGGTTGGCAACGTGGACATGCACCCAGAATGTATTACGAGATCCTGGGATGGGCTCCAGCGAGATACCGTCATCAATTTCTTCCGCGGTCACATCATCGATACAGTAGACTGGCATATCTCCCCAGTCCTTCCTCAGGTGTTGCATGGAATCTTGCAACTGATCGACAGTGAGCTTACTGCAGGATTCCTCGATCTCTTCCAACTCCATGTCCCTTGCAAGCGATATGCCATGCCCAGGCAGCATCAGATACTGATCAAGGGGTAGAAGGTTCTCCCAAGGTGCTATGATGCCGATTTCCTGCAACAAAAGACGTGTTGAAGCCTCACTCAGACCAAGTGTATTGTACATCCCCGTGGCACGCATAATATGTGTTGCTGTTGATCTCAGAGTGCCTGACGGCATGACAATTGCAGGGACTGAGTACAGCTGCAGATATTCAATGATCATTTGGTCCTCTGCAGTGAACTTTTCGGTGGGCAGTTCGCGGAACACCAGTGGGTTTCCATCCTGACCGGGCGAATACCTGTTGGAGGATGGACCAACACTGGACATAATAGTCGGTGAACGGAGCCTTCTACTAAGGCGAATCAACCGCTGTGCTTTGGTGATAAATCGGTGCATAGGGTGGTCTTTGGACCCCTGGGTGTCTTTGCGCATTGTGGCACGAACGCAATGTTCTTGGTGTTCATGAGTCCAGTCGACGACCTGTTTGACAATGCCGGCAATCCGTTTTGGCTGCACAATATACATCCGACTGAACAAGGAGCTGCCATCTTTTTCGATGAGGAAGGCATGTCGGCGAACAGCTTGATGAACAGCAAACATGTTCACGCTATTCAGCTCAGATTCCTCAATGCCAAGGGCAGTCGTTGTCAATTCTTCAAGGCTCAAGCAAAGGACTTCGGTATCGTCTGCCACCTTATCGTGAAGATTATCCAGTATCTGGGAATTTTCTCTATAGAATTTCAAGATATGAGTCTTGAAGTTATCCATCATCCTCAGAAGAGGAGCACCCAGTGGCCTCGGTAGACCTCCCTCGGGGGCCAGCTGAATATCTTGGCTTGCGATAGCCTCGCCATCTGGGAACCATGGTGTAAGAGGCTCGACAAGTTCAGTAGGTGCAAATCCTTTGACAACGTAGTCGAGCTCCGCGTTGGAGCAAATGCGCCAGTTCCCGTTGCCATTGTAGAACTGTTTCTGTTTGTGAACAGACCGCACGTAAATTGCGTAATTGAACACTCCGTCTGCGTTCAACCGGGCAATTAAGTCGCCCTGCTCGAGGTGTTCACCTTCAAATTCATCTTTATCCGTAGGCTCCTGGTTCCTGTTTGGGTCACCCCAAGCATCGACTGTGTCACGGCCATTAGGCATTGTGCCAATGGATTTACCTGGCAATTCCAATGGCCGATGCTTGGAGTCGGATCGGCGCACCGGATCCAAGTCATTGGGGTTGGTATCTTGCCATTTCCGTAGATATGTTCGAATGTCTCCATGCAATTCGAATTGGGACCTGAGAAGGATATTGCCATCGATGGGGACTCTCGGGGGCTCGTCTAGCTCGGATGTTTCCTGTTGAGATAACACAAAGATTAGCTGTGAATAACAGGCTCTTCCTTAGTATAGCATACCTCACTATCAGCTGGAGCAGTTTCAGCTGACCCCAACGTTCTCGTAGACAAAAAGCGTCGCCCCCAGACAACACCGGAAGGTGAGTGGCGGATGCGGTCGACGTACATCCCGTGCGGTTCTGTCGCCATGTGTAGAGCACAGGTGACCGGTTTGCACCAGTTAGCTTCTGCAAAGCCCTTATCCTTGTAAGTGCCATTGCCAGAGCTTGCGCAGAATGAATGCGCCGGTGGCTCGAAAACTAAGTATATTCTGCCTGCAATTGCTATACCGCCCTCGGCGGTATAAAATTGTCCCGTGATTTCAGGGTTCATTTTTGACCAATCACATCGCAGTACAGAAGTATAGGGTCTTGCTTGTTCGGGGAGGACCTCATTTCTTTTATGGACACTGAATAGATAGTCTCATATCCTGTTATTTAGATGGAGTTATAGCTAAAAGACTTCTCCAATACGATATCTGTCATCAAAGAGTCATAAAGCTATAACATATCGATATTACTCGGTATCATGCTCCCCCTCTTGGTCATAAAATATAACCGTATAATTTCACAAATAGACCATATATAAACCATAGTCTCCGAGAAGAACTAGTGGATCTCCTTGGCCCTTTATTGGTAGTTCTAGTATGCAATAGAAAATCATGCTGTTTCATGTCATAATACCATGGATTCCCAAAACAATGCTAACTAATAGAACGTTGTGGGTATCCCCAGTACACCTTCAAGCCACTGGTCGTCTCCCAAATCCATTGACTGCATCCACGTCATCTGGTCTAGATCTGGAATATGGTGATTGTGATAGGTTGTCTCAGAGTTGGCACTCCCGCATGGCCTAGTCTCCACGTCTTGTAACTGAGAAGCCATGGACCATCGAGCTTCAGCCCACAACCGACATTTGGTCAAAAGCTTGGATAAAAGCTTGAGCAAATGATCATCGCACTGAAGCTCTGGCTCCTTGCTGCTTTGATCGAGCTTTTGAACCATACAGTCCATCGTCGATGTTAGGTCAACTGTGCTCCGCACCGCTTCGCAATCCCATTCCGGGTCTTTGAGTGTTGATAGATATTTCAAAAGCGTAACGCTCAGAATCATCTGTGACCAAAAATGAAAGGGTTGTCCGACAAGCTTTGAGCAAGGAATTTTGTAGAACTCGTCCAGCCACGACTTGATATTCTCAACCGACTGCCACAAGCACTCGAGGCGCTGGAAGTCCAATAACGTCCCACTGTCCCCAATCTGTCCAGATTGACCTAGAGCAAGCGAGTCTCGACTTATGGAATAACCCAGCTGATTTATATATAGTCCGACATACTGAACGTGTGTATTGAGGATGTCTGCATGGCAAACCTGGGTTGGCCCCAGGCGAAGGTATCAGCAACCGCCGCAGAGATAATCTGCTAAGTTATTCGCCCGAGAAACCGCTTACCTATATGTTGAAGATCCGGGGGAAAGGAAGATCTTAGTTCATGTAGCTGCACTCGTAAAGTCTTAAGATACAGGAAGCGAGGGCCTGAGGCTGCTGCAGGAGCTGTTCCTGTGCGAGTGCAATCCGTCTCGTCCTGTTGTCGAACATAATCCGCTCTTTGTTTTAACAGCTGCAAGCGTACTTGGAAAACAAATAACTCATCCGCGGGGCATGACTTGCTTAGTGTGATGACTCGAAGCGCCTCTTCCATCTGAGGGGTCCATCGTATAGCATCTTGACGTCCAAGGTGTGACGAAACACTAGGGACAGTCATACCATGTTAGTATGTGTTGGCCCTAAGAGAATCATGAGGACCACACGCACTTAGAGCTCAAAACGAAACAAGCTAGCAATGCCCTCTGCTTTTCCAATAACCCGTCAGGCATTTGATCGTTAGAGCTCTGAGTAATGTCATCATCCCGTCCCTGGGTAATAGACATCATGACTTGAACGTCTGGTGAGGACGGCTTGAACAACCGCAGGTCATATACTAATGAAATGGCGAGCATCATGAGGCGAGATACGAGGTCTGCTTTGCCAAGAAAAGCGTCGGTACTCCATGCTAGGTAAGTTAGTAATCCAAGCAGCAAGTCGATATTTGACTGGACTTCGAGCAGAGCAGAGGTGAAAAGGACACGCTTTAGTTCCTCAACTTGAATCAGTTTTTCCTGTGTTGAGAATATAGTAACAGTATAGATAGCTTGAAACAAGAAAGGTCTGTTTTGGCGCAGATACGAGCTTGTCATGTCGGGGGTAAGATTGATGAAGGGGAAATATGGCAGCATTCGGGAGCGGAAGAAATCTAGGCGTTCGTCTGCTTGATTTGGCAATGGCATAGAGGAAGGTAGAGAATAATGATGAGACGAAAATAACAGATTTGTATGTGGTGATGCTGTGGCGATCGAGTCCGTCAGCCCAGCGCTAGTGTTTACTAGGGTGCCATTCGAGTAAGACGTGGATGATGAAATGCTGTTTCCGTCAAGGGAGTGAACTGGCTGAAGTGACTGAAGGGCATTGACGGAAGTACCCGAAGCCCCCTGGGAAACGAGCGACTGCATTGCAGATAATAAGGTCTCCATCTTGTCTTCCAGCCGAGCGATGCGCGTATCGGATTCTTCAGCCATCTGAGCATTACGCTTGCGAACCGACTCTGATGGCTGGCACCTTTTCTTAAGACGGAAACATCTAAGAAAATAATTAGCCGAGTATCATTGAATTACCAGGGTAGTTGTCATTGTGACCTTTCACACCTGTCGCCATTTGGGGTACGCACACATCTGCTCTTTGCCTTGTAGCAGTGTATGCAAGCTTGGCCATAGGTGCTGGGTTGTCCGGCCGGTTTTGATCTCTCCATATTAACTGGATATGTTATGCTAGAAGACAAGTAGGTGGACAGGCTTCTTAGATGCTTTAATGTCCAAAGAGAACTCCGCCGGTAACTCCGGAGTTATATCCGTGTCAGACGGAGTTGGGCCCCGAAGTCCGCTGTGCTTTGACTTCAGTTGCAGCTGTAGCAGAATTCGGCAATGGCAACCATTTACCGACTTCCTTGGCCTGGTATACATTCCTATATCGGGCTATCGAGCAGTCGAGTAACTCATCTTTAGAATTCGACCCTGACAGCCACATTTTGGGGCGATGCGCATGTTTCCACTTTGTGATCGGGCGGAACGGGCTGAGCCGCTGGAGAGCTGAACCTGTGGAGACAAGTTACATATGTAGGTACGGTTTTATACATAATGTTTCTCGAGGATGGCATAGACCTGCTCCAGTTAATCGCAGTGGGGTATAGCTTTACAGGCTCATGGTGCTTTCTACGTTTCCTGTGTTATACTATCAGGGCCTGTCTACGGTAGCTCATTGAATCGAAATCATAACATGCTGCAACATCGTAACTATTTATCAGGTTGTTTCAAAGTGAAACTAGGATGAATTAACGTCAAACGAACATGATTGGCCTATATAGGACCACAATACAATCAAATCCGAGAATGTGTTGGTCAGGGTTTTTTTTTTAAAAAAAGAAAAGGTACCCAAATTAGGCTGTAAATGATGAATGGTCAAGCAACCCCATAATCTCATGGTCTTGGGCTGCAGGATATGTATGCAGTGCAGCAGTATGTTATTCTCCGGATAACAGTATAAGATCCAACATTCCAGCCTAATCCACCAGAAGAAATCAACGGATCCATATCTCCTATAACTATTGTATAGTACATGTAGATACAATGTCGTCCACGGACTGCCAAGGTACAATAGTCCCCGAGACACGGGCCTCGAACTATTTGCAATCCCGGTGAACTCCTCCGAAGCTGCGGCACAAGGGTGTACGGAGATGTCAGTGAGTTGACTTGTGTGTTGACCCATACTCTTGGTTCAGCCTATCGGACTGGATATTGCACTATACTTCATACCCTGTGCTCCCTTGCTCCGAAAGTACCAATGCCCGACCTCTACAACCTCATAAACAGGCTCTTTTCAGCATGAGCGTGTTGATCTAAATTCCCCGCGATCTCCAATTGTATTTCCTCTATCCGAAAAGATTGACGAAGATCAATGAGCGGGGAAGACGTATTCGTGATCGTTTACTCCGTATTCTCCGTGTCCCCTTGGGCTCACCTCGGCCCCTCGGAGCGAACTGCACACTTCATATGAGTCAAATAGGATTAGGATTATCTATCGGTTGAGCCAAAGTCCACAAGTCCACAAGTCCACAAAAAAAGAAACTTGACAGGTCGCGAGTATCGTTTCCTAGTTGGTTTAAGCGAGGCCAGGGGCAACTTTCGGATTTCAGCATGTCAGGGGCAAATGCCCGCAAGTTTTGGCGGGTTGAAGCCGAAGGAGTTCCACTTGCTGATCTTTTTTTTTGTTTCACTTGATCGAGTTTTTTTGTCTCAATTTTTGTGAACGTCAACCAATGATATACTTTGGGTGATTGGGTTAGTGCCACTAACTTCCAACTAGTGAAGCCCCGTTCATCCAAGAAAAGCGATCGGCTCTAGTGGCACGCCAACACCGAATACCCCGTACATGTTTAGACAAACTCAAACTCTCAGAGGTGATCTGTCGATCGCTGGACAAGGTTATTACATTCTCACTCAATTCATACTACAGATTCCGCAGGTTTAGCCGATTTACACGGAAATTGCCCGATTGGGACCCACTACCGCATGTCCTGGCCTTGTCTGGCTTGAAAATTAGGTGCCTACAACAATATACGATGCTTGTATGTGTCGAGATCAGCATAAGATAGGCATTCGGATGTGCCAAGTTCAGCTCAAGCACAGACATAATTGACTCGGACGACCTGTCCAACATAGGCATGCACAGAGCATCCGAGGTTTTACTTTTGCCCGTTTCGCTGCCATGTGCCTCGACTTTACCTGTGAACTGTGAGCATACTCCGCAGCTTCAGCCAAATGCATCCACCGAGTCCGGTAAGGAACGGTCTAGATAAGCAGGAGCACCTGCTCAATTGAGAATCGCGTGATTTGACCCTGGCCTGAATGGAATGGAGCCCCCTAAACAATGCTTCTGCGGAAGATTCTTCGCTTGGCTCCCATAGATTGGTTTCAGTTCCTGTCGGGCCCACTCTCCAAGAGAGGTGCGGTCAGTGGCTTGAAGAATATCCTCCGATAATAGAGTCTTCCAAGCCGAAGCTATCGAAGTGTTATATAAACTAAAGCCATAGGCCGCACTGTCAAACTGATTTGGAGCTTGTGTATCTGTTAGGTCATACCCTCTGACCCTGGATCAACCCATATTCCTTTCTTTTGTACATTTTTTGGAATAATATATCAATTATATTGTCTACTTTCCTTTGACAATATGCTCTCAAGCAACGGATGGCGCGCCCTAGCGCTGTCCCTGGCTCTTGTCCCTCGGGCAATGGCAGATATCTGCGCAACACTCAAGGCCGGTGGCATCGATATCGAATACCGTATTTCATTGGCATACAAAACTGATCTGACCGAGTATTGGTCCACGGCATGCGGTGATCTCAAGCCAACATGCATTGCAGCTCCGTCCAGCGCAGCGGAGATGTCACAAGTTATTAGGAACCTTCACGACGTGGATACACTCTTGTCTGTTCTATCCTTGAACCAACAGCAATGATATCGGCTAACCTTAAACAGTGCCATCAAGAGCGGAGGACATAATCCCAACAATGGATTTGCTAGTATTCAGGACGGGTTGCTGGTTTCGACTAAGAACCTAGATCAGGTTGACTATAATCCCAAGGATCATACTGCTGTTATCGGTCCTGGTCTGTCATGGGAAGAGGCCCAGAAAGGACTTGAAGGAACTGGTCGGACTATCGTTGGAGGTCGAATGGGAGGAGTTGGAATCGGTGGATATATGCTTGGAGGTATGCGGTTCAGATATGAGCGCCATCCACATTTATCTCTAATAATGTATAGGTGGTATGAGTTTCCTGAGCACCCAATACGGCTGGGCTGCGAACAATGTCTTGGACTACGAAGTTGTCCTAGCCAATGGTACTATTGTCCACGCAACCGAAACCGAAAACCCAGGTGAGTGACAATATACCAACCTTGTAATCGTCGAAACGCTAACATTTGGCAGACCTCTTCAAAAGCTTGAAGGGAGGTGGCAACAACTTTGGAGTTGTTACTGCATACACCATGCAGACATATCCTCAAGATCACAAGGTCTGGGGTGGCAACTATGTTTTCACAGCCGACAAAGCCCCCGAGATTCTCACAGCATTGCGCAACTTCACTGACGAGTATCCTGACGACAAGGCGGCAATGATCGTGACATTCGAACGCGGTCTCTTGGTTGACCTCTGTATTTTGTTCCTCTTCTATGACGGCCCCGAACCCCCCTCTGGAGTCTTCGATGAGTTCACTGCTATCAAACACACCTCAACAGCCAAGACCTTTGACAGCTACTACGACCTACTCAAGAACAACGATCTCTTCATTCTTAAGTAAGACGAACAATTCCTAATCCTTGGGTCATTTGCTAACTATATACTAGGGGGCAACGCTATACCATCGCCACCGAGACCACGCCCCTTCCCAATAAGACTGTGGGAACGGCCCCGCTCCAGGAGTACTACGATCATTTCCGCGACGTGACTGGGTCCGTACTAGGAGTGACTGGGATCATAGGCTCAATTGCCTTCCAGCCCGTACCGAAGACATTCTCCCAGAAGGCGAAGGACCGTGGTGGAGTAAGAATTCCATTCCCAATGAAAACAAGAACGGAGATCAGATTACTAACAAACCCCCAGGACCTCCTCGACTTCCCCTCCGATCAACCGTACATTATCATTGAGCTCGATTTCTCCCATGGTCTATCCATCGACGACAACAAGATCGATGCAGCCACCGTAGAACTCTACCAGGGAATGGGCAACCTGGTGCAGAAGAACATCGACAAGGGCCTTCTTCCCGACGTGTATCGACCATTGTTTATGAATGACGCATACTACCGCCAGGATTACTGGGGACGTATTAGCCCCGAGTCCAAGGCGCTTGCTCTGAAGACGAGGAAGGCATATGATCCTCAAGGGTTCTTCCAAAAGCGGACCAGTGGAGGTTGGAGGCTTGGCTAGACTTCAAGAGCGGTCTAGGCATTGGATATATTTAACTCATCTATAATTGTATTTACGAAGATTTATCCAATTGTTTTTAATTATGACTCGAAAGGACAGTGTTGGGGAGTAGATGCGTCGGCGATCCGCCCATGATATATTTTGTAGTATGGATTTCCCGTTACTAAAGTAGCTACCAAGCGACCCCACAGAAAAATAAACATCCTTGCTGATAATTGAGCCTAGATTCAATACCCTGAAACTTGATCTACTGTGCATTTCCCACTCCAGTCAATAATTAGATCAAAAGTAGGCGCTTGCTTCAGATTTGCAGACGCCCAGGGAACGAGTGGCTGAGAGCGACCCGCGGCGAGTTAGGGTTTCCCTCCAAGCGCCAGGGTGGATTCGTCAATCGGACCTATTTTCTTTATTATAATATTATTGTAAGTATTCTTCCAATCGTATGTCATCTTTAGCAAAGAGCTATGAGCTCCCGTACTATCTTAAGCTACGATTCATGCCGATCGCTGTACACGGCAGAGAGCTCAATGAAAGCCAACTCATCCAATTGAGTACGGCGCTTCTCCAATCTGTAACACAGAAAGACATAGCCCAGCGGAGAGTCTAGATTCGATGCTAATTTAATTCGGTCTAGACCTCGGACAATTGATGTCATTGAGAGACCTTTGTTGATGTCTATATAAAGAGCCGAACCAGTCTGGTCTTCAATCTCACAATCAGCTTCACTTTCTTTCAGACACTCCCTTTCTTCTTATCTTAGTTATTTCTACAAATTCTTCTAGTCCTTCTAGTCCTCACAGCCTTTCATTCCACATATATCTACCGCATCGTTGCTTGAATACTATCCTCGACTCTCGATACATCGGCACATACACAACGAGCCCGGCCAGTCGACCCTTCATACCCATTCATTCCTCCAATCCAGTCTATTCCAAAATGTCTCCCCGCTACGGTGCCCTCGGCGTAACCTTCCAACTATCCCGCCTCTTCCAAGCCTGCTCCCTAATCGCCATAATCGGGATGACGGCCAAGTTCATCAGCGTAATAGTAAACAGCAACGCCACACCCCCAAACATCCTAATTGGAACAATCAGCGTGGTAAGTTCCAAGTCTCCTCCAATACACAAGTACATACTTCCTTCAAGCCAAGATCTCCTTATAAAAATCCTCAATCTCACTAACGATTCCAACTACAGACCTGCATCGCAGCAATCTATTGCATAATCACCGCAATCCTGTACACAGACGACATCCTCCCATTCCTACCCTGCGCAGTGCTCGACGCTTTGCTACTAATCGCACTGATTGTCGTCGCCGTCATCGTCGGCAAGCCGCTCTCGTACTTGAAATGTACGACGCTGGCGGAGCTGGGCGATAAGGATGCTACAGCATATGCGTTTGCATCGAGACTTTCGAGTTATATTGCCAGTGTTAGTGGGAAGATTGATTATGTTTCGTGGATTGGGGCCTCGAAGGCGATTTGTATTGAGACGAAGGCTATTTGGGGGTTGAGTATTGCACTTTGGTGAGTTCTTACTTTTCTTCTTGGTTTCCTATCCGGTTTTCATTCGTTAGGATTTTACTAACTTGTGGATTCGAATTCTAGCATTCTCTTTTTCTTCTCTGTTATTTGCAATGTCTGTTTGTGGTTGCAAAAGAAGAAGGCTCTTGCTGTGAAAAGTTTGGAGTAATCGGTCAGCTGGTTTATGAGGTTCTATGATTTGGGAAAGGGTATATCGAATATTGGGATCTAGGATGGTTACGAGATGGACGGGTTGGATCAATTGCTTTTTATGTCTTTCGTTTATGATGATTCTTATAGCACATGCATTAATAATCCATTTCAGATGAAACCAAATCAAATTCAAGATTCATAAAGTACATCCAGCATAAAAAGAAGTATTCAATTGAATAACCTCTACCCCGAACTCACAGGCGGAATAATAGCCACCTCACCCCCAGCCTGGATGACGGTCTCCGTATCCTCCTCGACATCAACATACTCCCCGTTCAGACTAACACCACAGGTAGACAGGACCTTGGGAGAAATGCCGGGGTATCGCTGCTCGAGTTCGCCAAACAGAGCGGATAGTTTCAGGGGCGCGGGGAGCGATTCTGTGTTTTTGGCTGTGTATTGGGATGCTGTTGCGAAGTAGTGGATTGTGAATGTTTCCGGCATGATGGGTGGGACTGAAGAGAAGAGAATTGGGAGGGAAGAGGTTGAAAGTTGAAGGTTGAAAGTGTATGTTGTAGGTCTCGAGGTATAAGAGGATCCATGGAAGTTCGATAAGAGATTAGATGACCAATAGAATTGCCCAATGCGGGGTAAATAGACGGTTGTATATAAGGACATAAGCATATAAGGGGGTTATACTTCCATCTTTAAAGGTCTATAATCGTATAACAGTATCTAGCTGGGAATTCATTCTATTTAGTTTACACTACTTCGAACTATCTACTGCGCAAGCTCACGAAATGCCCTCGCCATATCGGCCTTCAAATCCTCCCAGTTCTCCAACCCAACACTAATTCTCAACAACTTCCGATCAACCGTCGCATCCGTCATAGTCCTCCACTCAATAAGCGTCTCAACGCCACCCAAACTAGTAGCATGCTGGAAGAAATGCAATTTACTGGGCAACTCCCGAGCGAAGCGCATCTCCTTCATAATAATCGAGAAAACAGGCCCGAACCCATTAGGCATCTGCTTCTTCAACCAGTCACCCTCTACCTTCTGCAGACTAGCATGAAGGACCTCACCAAGAACAGCCTGCACAGCTGCCTCGTCACTGCCAGGCGCGGGGTTAGGCGCATGTAGAGCAGCATTAAGCCAGGAAATGAGATGGGCGGCATTTTCGCTCTGGCGCTGGACGCGGATCTCGAGTGTACGCAGACTGCGGACACCGAGCCAGCCCTCCATGCTACCCATGACAGTTCCGATGAAGAGACGGTCGGTTTTCAGTTGGGCGGCCCAGTCGTCGCGATTTGTAGCGAGGACACCGCACAGCATATCGCTGTGGCCGCCGAAATACTTGGTGCCTGAGTGCATGATAATATCTGCGCCGAATTGGAATGGCTCTTGCAGGCCTGGTGGGGCGAAGGTGCTGTCGACGATAAGGTATGCGCCGCGGGCGTGGGCTTTGGCAGCGTAGGAGGCGATGTCGAAAGCGGTGCCTTGGGGGTTGACGGGTGTTTCGAGGAGGATGACATCTCCTTTTTCGAGTTGGTCAGGAGAGCAGTCGAGGGGGAGCTTTTGTAGGCCTGTTAGGCGGGTGAAGAGGGCGATGACGCCATGACAGCCGTGATAACCATCACCGACGGAGATGTGGCGGGGGTTGAGGAGGGTGAGAGCACCATGAAGGGCTGATAGGCCAGAGGAATAGCTTATAACTTGACCGTGGAGGAGAGAAGAGAGGATTGTCTCGAAACGAGTAGGATTGGGCGCGGACATGCGCGAGTAGATATGGGAGGTTGCATCAAAGTCAGACTACATTGGATATGTGTTAGGCCAAGGAACATAGAACCATAGAACGTTGAGGCAAGATGCATACAGGGGTGGCATCGGCAGCCGGTACTAGCTGGGTTGGATCATTGGAATAACGAAATGTAGTAGAGAGATGCATAGGAGGAGCGACATCCTTAACAAGGTTCAAGGCATCATCGGCATGCAGGGAGCGCGTGGAGGCGCCAATGGCTTCGCTAGAATGAGACATGATAATAAATGCTATGTTTGGTTCTTGAATTGTATGCACAGAAAGGGCCCATCAAGCAAGTTATAATACACCAGAAAATGCGGGATCCGGTCTCGGGAGGGGGGGAAGTGGGGGAGGGAAGCACGTAATGAGTCAGATCATGAGTCAGATCACGTGTCATCAAAATCAGGAGATATTTATCGACGGATGGAGCCCATGCGAGATGGTTCTCGCACTGATCCAGGAAGAGCTGCCTTGAAGCTTGCGCGTGCTATCGAATAAAGTTAGTGAGAGAGCAGCACGAGATAGACAAGTGTAAACTCACAAGCCTCTGTATCGAAGGTAACGGTGAGATCGTCGTGTTCGATGGGATACTCGGGCATGTCAAGGCATACGAAGTTGGAAGCTGGATTATCATCCTTCTTAGGCAGTGCGAATTTGGCATCGACCATACGAATGCCGAATTTGCCGGACCGGCCAAAGGACTCCATAATATCAGTGCCCTTCAGAACAAAGTTCATACATGTGCCATGCTGGAAGTCCCCGAAGAAAGCAAGCAATTGAACGACCTTTTCTTGTCGGACGATCTGGACGCGTGCCAGGGCAGCTTCCCATTTCTTGTAAATAGGCACCATACTCCGTCGGCGGGAGATGGTGAATGATGTAGCCATACTAGTTTGGTCAGCAAGATCTCCACTAGAAGGCTAGATATGATAGACCCACCCATCGTAAAGCACCTGGAATCCAGTAACAGCTGCCTCGAAGGCATGAAGATCTACAATGGGATTAGCAAAGCCAACAAAATATTCCAAGTACACATACCCTGAATAGTAGGGAACTCCAGTCGGCGGACCATAGGCTTCGCCGTAAGCTTCTCAAGGAAGCCGGTTAATTGTCCTATCAGTTCAGGGCGAATGAGGTTGTCCGCGAGCGAAAGGGTCAAATCCTGTTGCGCGGAGCGGAACAAGCTCATGCTCAACTTGTTCTGGACATCCAATCCAATTTTCAATTCACCAGGCCCTAGACAAAATTAGTATCCCGTTTCTATGCGAGGAGAAAGAGAAAACCCACCTAAGTTGATGCGATCTGTGACAGAGCCCCATTCAGTGGCGACAAAGGCCCTCAAATGTTCCGATAGAATAGTCGGTCCATAACCATGTTCGACGTATGCATGCTCCTGGTCAATAACGGAAACACTTCCAGCGGGGAACTGGAGATATTTGACGGCGGGCTGGCCAGTAAATGGATCTTCGGGCTGCTCAATGCAATAAGACTGGATGGCGAATTCGGGCGACTTGATCTCTCCATCCCGTGGAATCATGCCGAGCAGGATAGAGTGCATTTTCGTGCGCTCGGCAGGCTCGTGGAAAGTCATCAACATGGATCTCGTACGGCCGTCCTCGGTCACTTTGAGAAGAAGGGCGGGAGCACCGTCCTCTCCTCGCAAGAGACCAAATACGATCGGTGACCCGTTGCCCAAAGTATGGCGAATGCTGCTCAAAGTCTTGACCTTCGGGCTAGTCAGGACAGCCAGTCGGAATCCCCGATGCGCATTGCGAGTACCAGTGCCTTCTGTCACGGTGACAGATCGCTCGAATAAACGGAGTCGGCTTCGTTCTGTGGGGTCTGAAGGGAATGCCTTTGGTGTGCCCGGATCCATGTATTGGAAAACTTTGAGAGTATCCTCAAATACCACAGTCTCGCCCGCCTCCGGATGGAGACTGTTCTCCGCTTTCTGGGTGTATTTGACGATATTCCAAAGTGTCTTGAAATCCTCTTCCTTGAACATAACGTCCAACTCGAATCCTCGAGGAAGCTTGACTCGCATAGAATGGGAGCGGACTTGCCAGTCCACATCCTCCCAAGTCGGTCCCTGCTTGCGGTCGGACTGAATCAAAATGTTGACAAGTTGACTTTGGCTAGTGATTGCCGCAAAAACATACCAATCCGCTCGTTCGCGGACGATGGTCAAGGCGCAGGGCATGGCATATTGCTGTTGCCCGTCATCATCACTAGAGCTGACGCAGACCTGTACGAACATGCTACCATAGCTGAAGTATCGACTTGTGTCAGCCAAAGGCATCATATGGACCAAACTTGGTATTTTGCCCGCGTTATCTACCAGCATTGATCTCGTTGCCGCACCAGATAGGACTGCTGAGACATCAGGCGCATAGAAAGGGTAACGCAGCCAGATACTCGTATCCAGTTGACTGGGAGAGCTTTCGTCTGAGATAACCGAGGCGAGGATATTATTTCGTTTGATGGACATGGATAGCGACCGGAGGTGATTGATGAGAGTGTGATGTATACTCAGAAGATCAGCCAACTCCTTGTCCCCGGTGGTACTCGCAACAGCCAGTACGGCATCAACGCTTTTGGCGCCGTATCGAGAGAGTTCATGGTGGCTAGGCACAATATTTTCATTAATCCATAATGCCTTTCCAAGATCCACCACAGCCTGTTTGGCGTAAGTAGGTGGCAATTTCGAACGAGAACGGGCATATGCTTCCAATCGTGTCTTTCCTCGCAAAAACCACCAAACCGCAGCCCGAATCCATTCTGCTAGCGATGTTTCTACCAATGGCTTAACGTCCGATGCCGCGAGTTTAATAGAGTCCTCATATTGTGCATTATACTCCTTGAATTCAGAAAATGCGGTATCGCCAACTTGGTTGGCAATACTTCGAAGAGAGAACTTGGGAGGTTGGGTGCTGCGCGGCGGCTCTTGGCCTTCGCGACTAGGAGGTGACGTCTGGGTTGATGTAGGTAGGTCCTGGGGTGGCGGTTTGGGCTGTGTTGGTGAAACCTTGCCGGGGCTACCTGGAATGAGATTCGTAGGCATTCGTGGGTCGATGGGACTGAGATTCGTTGGTGCGCGTTGTGTTGAGGGGCTTGGGGGTTCCGAATCGAATCGACAATGGACCTCATGGACAGAGAAATTGATGGTGCATGCGGAAGTCCCGCCGTTGGGGCTGTTTCGTTGGTCAATTCAGGATTGTAAGCTTTTATCGGCGCTTCCGGGCTGGCAGGACTGGGAGGACTGGGAGGGCTGGGGGGAGGTGAGACATCATCGTCTTCAGCTCCGGGAGACAATGTCTCTTCCTCATAGCGATGATGCAATGCGCGACCTTCCTCCGCTTGCATTTTGTCGCGGACGCGTTGTGCGAACGAACTCGCCTCGCTATCGCCACGGAACGACAATCGAGAGCCGCTTTCGCTCAAAGGCAATGTCCTCAGGAAGTCTGCATCCTGTGGATTTTGCATCAGCGGGGGTTTCCAGTCCGATCTATTATGCTGAGGCGAATAAGCGGCCTGTTGGGATCGCGCATCGTCATCGCCCAGTGATGTGTCAAGCCGGAGGTTTGGCAGATGCGATCGCGAAGGGTCCGAGAGGGGGATATTGCCAGACTGGGTTCCCCTGCTGTCCGACCTCTCACGAGCCCGCGAAATCTCAATTGTTGGCGATTCCGTCTCGTCACCTCCTTCACCAATTATTTCTGGGGTTTGCGGGCTGAAACCCACCCGCAGCCCTTTACCTTTGCGACCGCCGGGCTTAACGGAGGGCGGAGTTGGGGGCACGGTAGAGGATTGGTCGGAGATATTGTAAGGGGCATAGTTCTCACGAGGCAAGGCAGGCGCTGCTGTTGGCGCTGGCGCTGGCGCTGGCACTGGCTTGGAGGGAGGGTATCCGGAGACGTCTTGTGAGGAAGGAAAGCGATGGGCACCGTTTTGCGGAGGAATATACCTCGGGTCGATAGGCGGGGGAGCTGGGGCGGATTCTGGGGCACGAGAGCTCAGGAAGTCTGCGATTTCTTGATGTTGCTGTGACGCAGCTTTAGTCTTATCTTTGGAGAACAGTTTGGTTTTCCAATGGGTTTTTTTCGCGGGTTTGGCCTGCTCCGCGGGCAGAAAGGAGAACGGGTCATCGGCAGACATGACAAGAAAGAGGGCGAGTAGACACAGTCCACATCGCACTCAATGGCAAACACACACCAAGGATACCAGTCCTTGTGAAAATCCCCTCTCTCTTTGGGTTGAAGGGTCGCAGGATCGACAGGGGCTTTAGGTCTGATAAGGATTGAGATCGAATAGCGGGGGAAGGGGAGAGGGGAGAGTCAAAGGGGAGAACAAGAGGGAGAGGTGGGAGGTTAAGTGTGAAGAGTGAAAGAGTATTGGAGTGTTGGAGTGTCTCAAAATAGTCCCCAAGTCTCAAGTGTCAAGTGTCAGGATCAAATGTCAGGAAGGAGGGGTGGCTAATCGAAGCGCCCGTGCTCCGACTATAAAGGGAAGATTAGCTCATTTCAAAGTCTCAAAATATCCAAAATAAATAAATAAATATATTATGTATATATATATATATATATATATCAATAGCAACTTACCTCGGACTCCGTATAGAGATTAGTTTGATATTGTAGCTGGACCAGCAGCCTGAGACAGATGGTAAGAAGGAAAGAAGGTACACACACACGCACCCGAGGACAACATCAGGGGGGCCCTGGAGATACTCCGCAGGTACCAATTGCCGCAGTGGAGACGGGCTTATGTGGATCTCTGGTTACGGAGGGTAGTACCTAGGTACTTGGGTATAATAATATGGATAAATGGGATCCATGGATATTAATAGGGTTAACAAAATATATTAATAGCCGTCTTAGGAGACAGTTAATCAGGTATATTAGGAACATACGGAGTAGTTAATCTATACTAACATGTGCTCCAATTCCATATCTATACATCTATGCATACCTCAAACACATCGAACGCCTTTTTTCAAGCCACCAAGGGCTATAAATTATCCAATCAGCATAGACACGTCTCATACTGAAACTCCACTAGTCCTAATCGGAACGACAGACCCACCGCTGACGAGTTTTGGGAGTTTTGAAGATCAAAGATATTCCTAAATCACACCATTGTGACATTGTCATATATAATTCGATGAGTTGTCCCTATGATCTACCACTTCATTGTCCTTTTTAACTCCATAGTAATTAATATAATTCATGTTAAGGGAAAAAAAAATCAAATCAAATATTCGTACTTAACCTATCTCGCCTAATCTCATCTAGGGGCTTCTTAGCGCCCGAAATTAGAGACTAATCTAGGTAATGGGCAGATTAGCTGGTTCATTTGTTAATATGTCCTATTTAATATTTCGTAGCCCTCGTGGCTTCTCTCGAGATTGGATCCTTGGCTGTAATGTCTCTCCCTCAACTTGGCATTTGATCAGATGCCCGTGGGTCGGCTTCCCCCTTTGGTCCTCCCGTCGCCAGAGAGTGGCATGCAAGATCCCTCCTTTGCTCAAAGTCTCGAATCTACTACCCCGTATATCTATATATTCATGGATATGCATGCTCTGAATGTCGGTAGATATCTGCACCCAACCTGCGAGTATAATGTCCTTCTGCTTGTCGCTGCTATATGTCTTGCTCTGATCCAGTAGATTCCAGAGCCCGCTGCCTGATCCCTTGACTGACCTTAAATAGTGCCACCTTGACCGGAGATCGTTCAACTGAAAACTCACGCTATATGCAAAGAACAAGGAATACAGAAAATTGAGATTAACGGTATTACATAGCTCGGACCACCCCGCATATAAACAATTAATATCCGACTGTGAGACCCAGGGTTCATACCTACATACACCCTGAAGTAGATCGTTCCGGCTTCGGGACCTCGGTCACGAAACGGCTTACTCACTATGTAGTCTTTGGTGGAGCTTACAAGGTTCGAAGTACAGCCAATCTCATCGCTGCGTCGGACAAACGTATGACAATGTAATGAAGACGGCAGTGGCTTGGCATACCAAAATCCGGGGTTCTACCTAGTTATTCATCTTGAGTTCCTAGAAGCATGGAGGAAGGTCTTGCAGCAAGCAGGTGTCAAGTTCGAGCTTTACATTCCAACAGTAATTGACAGTGATCTCACACCGCATCGAGCTCTATATTAAAGTATTCATATAATTTCGGGAAAATGAGTTGCAATCCTGGTGTTGGTATATGTGTCACGTGAATGTTGTTGATGTCTGCCCAGGTGGTTCCCGAGGCTATCTATTGCTTGTTTGTGTAGGGTGAAAGCTTCTCTTTATTTTCTCCCTATGGTTCTCTGCTACTTTGCAACGTGCCTAATCGATTGATTGCATTTACTGTCTCTTACTTGTGGCGGTTGGGACCTTGTCTATATGATCTTTGTTGCGTCGGACCGATGCTAAATAACTATCCTCACTTGACAGGAAAGCGATATATCATCCCGATAACACCTCTAAAAGTGAATAAATCAAGTCCCCTAAAGTCTTCAAAAAAGTATTTGAGTATGATATTAGCTAGTACCTAATATCATACGAATAAGACAATGCAACGGTTTCATAGGGTGGTTGAAAACTATCCATGGATGTATGCAACAAGAGAGGGAAATCAATATTGCCTATTACGGTAGGAGATCATGTGACCTTAAGAGAAATATACTAGAAAGGGCATTATCGTGTTTGAAGCTAGTCAGGTTCATTGTACTCCGTAAACCCTTCTATACTAAACCTCAAGGGACGGAGCAAGATATTAGCCAGCATCTATTCTGTGTGTTTACAATAGTAATATGCAGTACCATCATCTCACAGCGGCGGTATTGAGAGTCGTGGAGCTGTTACAGACAGAGGCACACAGAGACATTCAAAGTTATATCTTGGAAAACCACGGGAAACACACAGCAGCCGGTCCAGACATCGAAGCCAGCTAGGAGCAATGCTAGATCCCGATTCAATGATTAGACATTATTTTTTTCTGGACAGCAATGCCAAAGGTTGAAGAGAGTAACAAAGGAATGTTGAGTCGGTACAATTTGTTGAGGGAGAGACAGTGTACTGGATTAGGCAAGTGGCTTTTGGTTAACGGGGCCAGGTTGGTTCAGGTTATTAGACTTGTGAGATGAAAATGAGACTATTAAATGAGGAACTCCATGTGGCGTTAAACTTTTGGTATTTTTTCGTGGCTTAGGGAGTGAAACATTGGGCCATGTCGTATAGCCCTACAGGATGTTGTATAGCCCTACGGAGTACTCCGTACATATTCTGTACATGTCGGTTATTTCGTGACTCAGTATACTTCCAAGTTTCTAGAACTAGTTGTATATAATCTTAACCCTTCCAAGATGAATATATATTACGTATATTCCGTACCACTACATGATATAGGCAACCGGGATCTAAATACATATGTACTACATATGTATGTAGTTTCCATACCCATTCCATACCAGGACCTATAAACGAGTAGGACCTAAAGCCACCGCATTTGTCTCACTACAAATCTCCCTCGCTGAAACCCCCAGTGGAGTTAAAGAGAGCTAATGCAGGGCACTAGACCCTGAAAGGGTTGCCATTACCTGTACGGGGTAGCTTCGTTTGTCACTCGACTGACTCTGTCCGATTGGGTTGAAATATCGACCAGGCTCACCCCGTTTTGTAGAAATGGGACAAGCTATTCAACACCCGAGACAATATCACCACAGTAACCTTCCAAATAGTTCCACGGCATAGCCGACGTCAGGTCTTGCCGGAAACTGATCGGCACGAATTAAAGCCTTCAGCTTCGGGAATGGTAGGATCACTGGTTAATAAGTGAGACATTCTGCTTTGAGCGACTATTTACAGTCGGTCAAGTCATACGAGGAAGAAGAGTTCTGGAACGCCTGATCATTACAAGATTAAAACAAAACATATAAAGACATTGCCCCCCCTCCCCCCTCATAATTGAAGCTGATAATTCTGTCCATAGGTATGTTAACACAGAATAGTAGGTTCCATGTCGAGAGACTCAGTTCAGGGTCTCTTAATTATTTCCGGGGGTTTCGACTTTAGCCGACATAGTGGGTGCAATTGTGTGGAATTGGAAATAATAAAGAATAATTTTTCTATTTTATGACATGTACGGAGTATTTAGTTCATAATTATTTAGTTCATCCTACTTCGCTTTTTGTTATTTGTTATTTTTGTTATTTTTGGGGTTTTTTTTAAACGAGAAAAAAACATAGTATAGGCCTATTATTAGCCATCGTCGAGTAGTCAGCCGTCAAACTCCACCAGGGCCAGACCAAACAAGGCGCAGCAACAACAACAGACCAACCCACTGCGAAAATTGAGCCACTTTTTTTCCAACTTTCCTGGTGTTTTGCTCTACTTGTGACTTCCGATCTTCCTCCGGGATATGCCGCGTTTGACCACTTAGCGGACTTACAACGCACGCAGGTTTACGTACCTCCAGGCACCGGGCTAACTTCGAAACCCTCCCCCCTCAACCCCATTACGCAAGACTTCAGTATCCTTGGTTCATTCCCTGCGGTGATATTTCCATCAAATCTCGAGTGAATATCGACCCTGAGAAGGGGTGCGCACGGTGGACGAGACCCCGACACCGACCCATTGTCAACACAACGTGGATTCGATCATTTACGCCGGGGGTTGACCTCCCCGAGGAGGTCATCCCGGATGCCCGAAGTGGACATGTATAGCTCGGAGACCGAGCTGGATGGCTATCCATCCTTCCCTCGACGGAAAGGAACCAGGTGGCCGCGACGTAGTGGATTACATATTTTGCAAGGTCGGCCATGGCGCAACATTTCGAAACGCCGAGCACAATCATGGAGCCCCATGTGGTGGATTGCACTGCTTTGTTTAGTGAGCTTTGCATCGCCAGCCGCTGCTGTTCTATTGGACTTTGAAAATTGTCTATCGAAAACCATCCTCGAATCCGACCCTCTACAACTTCAATTCGTTCCCACCAACGTGTCCGTCACATTCAACCTTACCAACCCTCTACACACACTCGCCGTCACGGTCTATGGCAATGTGTCGGGAACCGTTTCTCGAACTGCAAATTACCCGTCACCGGATTCCCCCGACTGGACAAATCCTAATTGGACCGATGGCAAGATTCAGGATGTGTACAGTGCCAACAACATGTACAGCACGCTGATGACGGATCTCAATGTTCTCAGCTTCACGGCCTTTCACAATGCCTCTCGTTTCCGTGACTCGGTCACGCAAGGTACCCTCCCACTGGGACCGGTCTTCAACCACAACCTGTAAGCTATTCCCGAAACAGAAAGCTCTCTGCTGTGTAACTAATCCCTCTGTCTTTTGCAGGAGTGAATTGGACGCATTACGAGCGTTCACCATTGAACACGATATGCTTTCAACGTACCGGTTCGGAACGATCATCCCGTTACTGAGGGTTCGCTCCGGAGATGCATCCGCGATTGAGCTCGCCTGTGTTTCAGTGAGCGCCACGCCGGACTTCGGAGCACCCCTCAAAAATGCCATCGCCTACGTGCCTCTTATCATTTTGATACTCGTGGGGATTGCGACCATCACTGCAGCCATGTATAGCCCTTGGGGAACAACTGATCTGTTTCGGTGGACAAGCAACTACGGCCGCGATGAGGATGTTCTCCGCCTTGTCACTCCTGGTTTTGCAGATTGCCTCCAATACCTTCAATTCGTTGTCTTGACGGGCTCGCTGTCTTTGGATTACCCAGGCTTCTTCCAACCTGCAGTGAGCCAGGGAGCGTGGTCGACTCTCATGTTCAACCAGAGTTTCGTGAGCACTGACATGGGCCGCGATCCTGTTGTCGATGGTTTATATGTCGTCAATGGAACTTATGGCCTCGACCGATTGAACCACCTGGTTGGCATGGCCTCGTCCCAGGATATCTGGCCCGGTATGATGATATGGGTGCTGGTAATCCTGGCCTGTGTGACGGTGCTGTTCCAGATCGCATTCGCGCTTAGATGGCTGTATCGTGAGTTGGCAAACAACACCGATCAGGATTTGCGTGCCAGAAACATGCCGTTTACCTTGGGCAACCTCATTCGTATTGTTTTCAATTTCCTTCTGTTGCCAATCGTTTCCCTTTCCTTCTTTCAACTGGTCCTTGCTCGTGAGTCAACCGCTTACTGTGTTGCTTTGGCAGCCGTGGTGCTTGTCATTGTCGCTTCCTTCTCCATCTGGGTCATTCGAGTGATTCTTACCACCCGACCCAAGTCTCACCTTTTCGATGATCTTCCTACGGTGTTATTGTATGGGCCGTTATATAATACATACTGCGACGATGCAGCGGCCTTCGGTATCGTCCCGATCGTCTTGAACATCGCCCGCGGGATAGCCATCGGTGCTTTGCAGCCATCGGGCATTGCCCAGGTGGTAATGCTGGCCATTTGCGAAGTTGTCTCTGTACTAACCCTGCTGGCTTTCCGACCTTTCTCAGGCCCTACTCACATGAACCTGTACCACTGCCTCTTCTCCATTGTTCGTTTCTTGACAGTTATCTTGAGCGTCATTTTTGTGCCGTCATTGACAGTTTCGGATGCGGCACGAGGCTGGATCGGATATTTGATCCTTGTGCTGCACGCCATGGTTCTCATCTTCGGGTTCTTCCTCAACGCCATGCAGACATTGATCGAGGTCTTGGCAAGACTGGCTGGTGCGGGTGGTGCCACTCGTGGCGGCTTGACCAAGGTGCTTGGTATGCGCCAGCTCTCTAGGCGTACTCCGCGCCGTGATCTCACTCGTCAGAGCATGGGGTCAGAGGCTGCTATGCTTGGCCACGGTGATGACCGTATGTCTTCTCAGTTTGATGGATCGCGCCCCCGCAGTCTCTCTGGGAGCTCGGGTCTGCTTTTGAACCGCGCCACAGCCAGTGATGGCAGAGCTAGCGCTGTCTATGATTACCCAAGCTCGCAAGGCGGCACCCACAGTCGTGCTCCCAGTGGTGGGTTCCCTACACCTACTTCAACCGCCTATCAAGGTGCTGGCTTCCCTAGCTCGCCTACTAGCGGTACGATGATGGGAACGAACTCTCGTGATCCCTATTATCGACCACCCCGCCCAGGGCGCAAAACCCCCCGGGAAGTGCTGCTCTCGAAAAAGGGAAAAGCCCGTCAAGGGGCTTCTTGAAATCAAGAGCAAGCCGCCGAACAGTCAAAACCGAAGACGACCTGGGAGATGGCACCATGTCTGGCCGGGCCACACCTATCCCGGCATATCTAGCAGCACCGAAGGATGATATGGAGCTTGATACCCCACGCAAGCCGAAGGACTATGCTGTTCGCGAGGTTGATTTCTACTATGGTGTTCGAGGCCCACCGCTTTCCCACAGCGGAACCCGAAAATTGAAAACTGGGCCAGCCGACCCCACAGGCCCAGTCTCGTCTGCCACGGGCTGGTTCCGAAGCTTGCTCCAAGGGAAGACCAAGGACAACGCCAAAGGATTTGAGGTGGTTCGAAGTGCTCGTGCGCCTCCCCCAGGTCTATTCCCGCCAGGAGGAGACTATAACGAGCAGTATCAGGATGATACAGGCACGCCATCCGCGAGCCATTCTCGAAATGTGTCAACTAGCAATGTTCCTTATCAGGATTCAGATAATGACCAAGACCCCGAGGGGTCAAGCGAGGCACGCCCACCAGTATTGCCACCGCTTAATACATCGGTTGGCGGTGGCATTGAGTTGCCTAGTCGAACGGGTTCTCGGCACACACAGGCACCAGGGGAACAAGACACAGGTGGAACTGCGGCTGGCCTTCCAGTTGTAACTGAGACCCTATCGCACAACTCTGAGGTGGGCGAGCGCTCTGGGCACTCCGCGCACCATCTCCAGCCAGAAGGCGCCACCACCGCGCGCCTGCCTTTCAGCGGGAGTAGCTCGCCATCTCGTGAACGAGGTTTGTCTATGACCTCTACTTCAAGGACAAGGTCAAACGCCTCGAGCCAGCAAACGGGATCTCGAGCAGAACGGCCCTCGAGTATGGGATACGTACCTCAACATCGCGCACACGACCACATCCACGAGGCGAGCCCCGACGAGCCATCGTTTACAGGCAGCTCAGCAGAACTTGTTGACGAAGCTGCGCTGAGCGGACACGGACGCTAGAACAATGACAAAAGGCAATCATATGTATTTTGAATCAGTATATTCCTCTTCTTCGATATCTACCTCTCTTATCTCTGTCTCTGTTCCTCTCCATGGATCCCCCTACCCCCTACTTATTTCCTATTTACCTCTATCGATATCGTCACCACATCTCCTCCCTGAAATACTGGCGAATTGATGCCACTATCACGAATTTCCTTGCTGTCTGTCCATTTATTTCTTGCTTTGTGCGTCTACATAAAATTGATGCGATGGCGTTCTATCTCTGATCCCGAGGTACACTTAATGGGGAGTGAGCTCATTAGCTTTTTGTTGTCTTTCGGGCTGTCGTTTAATCCAAGCGACATGCTGTTTGCTTTTTGGAGGCTTTGCTTCTTTCTGCTCCTGTCTATTTTGGCTATTCTTGTATCAATCTTAGGACATAGTAGTACCGAGATCATAATTAATGAGGGTTGTTCATAAGTGTTCTTTCTAGAAATGACGTTAAAGGCCGTGATATACCTTGAAATATCGATACGAGTGATTAATGCATAGACAAGCAGCGTATATCTCCTGTTGCATCGCCATGCAGGGTTCGCTGTCTAGTGACAATATCATGCAAGGATCCTGCGGCCATGCTTATTTATGCATTATAAAACCTCCTTAATCTATAACATTTATATCTAGACACGGTAATTCATGGTAATCTATTTGGGGATAATGTACAATAACTGAATGTTTGATTTATCATTTGAATATGAGATCCAGATCAGAGCACCAAGGCTTCGAGTAAAGCATCAACCAGAAACGACCGAGGCCGATGATACGCGGGCAGATCGGGCCGATATTGTCAATCGCCACCGCCCTGACCGCCCCACGATAACAGCCGTATCTCGGCCAAACACGCAATGCTTTACATCATTTCTTCTCTTTCTCTCTAAATCAAGTGTTGCTCTGCTGGTTTTACTCCTTTTCATCATTTCCACCTGCTGCTGGTACTCGCTACTGCGTAGCTGGCATTTGTGAACATAGTCACGAGACTCTCAGCCTCATCCATCTCCTAAATCCGATCCAATCAGCCTTGGCTCCATGATAAGCATCATCCTGTCACTTCTTGATGTGATCTTCGGCAAAAAGCGTCAACGTCATTGAGGCTGAGCCCAAGATTGCAAAAGGCACTCTCCGTCCTCTAAATCTATATCTCCGACTTCCCCGCCATCCATTTCCCCCTCCATCGCCACCTAGTTCATGAAGACTGTCACCCCAACGGCCGAGATCGATCTCGTTGCCTGTGTTGAACAAGACCTCGCTGAGGGCCCATACCATTCGACGCAGCAATAATAATGCCTGGATCAAGCACGGCATCATCCAGCCCGATTCCGTCCAGCCCCCCGCCGAGGATGCGGGCAGGCACGAGACCAGGCGAAAGGCCAGAGGGACAAGGGACAATCCAACCTGGAAGCTACAGCGGCCATGAAGGAGGCAGCTCTAGGGCGAGAGCCTTCCCCATTCGCGCCGGTTCAGAGCGTAAAAGACGGTTGACCAATACCGGCGAGGATGCGAGGCCACAATGGGGACGATCTGGGGGCACGGCTGGACCGGCCCGAGACAATGGGGGATCCTCTAGGAGTATCCTGCCGCATCGATCTGTTTCAATGGTATTACCTTCGTCCCGCAGCAGGACTTCTATTTCTGCAGCACCTGGCTCGTCATTTGCAACAGCAATTGATATCTCTTCCTCTCCCCCAGGGGCGCCTCGTGCTTCTACTTCTGGCGAACAACGACAGGGGATTTCTCGACGGGAGAATCCAACACCTTGGATTAATCAAGCCCGTTCCGTTACGCCTCTTCCCAATGATATACCCCCACCACTTACGGACATGACTCTCCCGAAATGGCAGGCAGATTCGGATGTGTCAGAATGTCCGATCTGTGGGATAGTCTTCAGCTTCTGGCACAGAAAGCACCACTGTCGAAAATGTGGGAGGGTTGTATGTGCATCATGTTCCCCACACCGGATCACGATTCCCAGACAATATATTGTCCGTCCTCCTGACTTTATTGACTTCCTCCCCGATTCCCCAGCAATGCCTTCCCACCCTCCACCGGTCGTCGATCTCACAGGCGACGACCCTATTCTATCATCACCACCATCGGCATCAGCAACAGGGACAGGGACAGTAACGACACTCAATCCTGCTCTGGGTGGAGGCGAAGAAGTACGACTTTGCAATCCATGTGTGCCAGATCCAAACCCGAATCCCCTTGGTTACAGTACCGTGCGGGCACATGGCCACCGGCCTACTCATTCTCTTTCATCTACTATGGCCAACACATACCATGCCTCATCAGTTAGTTCTCCCCTATCACTTTACCCAATACATTATGAATTGACACGAAATGCGCAGGGTGCAAGCCAGAACCATGAAGCTCGTCAGGAACGCCGGACTGTGGGTGCAAATGACCGGCCACAGTTCTTGAGCGAACTAAATTCGCAACCCCGCCTAGTTCCCTCAGCCACCGGCATAGGCCGACCACGCCGTTCATTTTCCAGTCGCGAGGGCAACCCGCCCCGCGGACCTGCACCGGACGAGGGCGATTTTTGCCCCGTATGTAGACGTCAATTTCTCCCACTTAGTCCCGAGCAGCCTCTTGAGGCGCGCCAAGCTCACACTCGGGCGTGCATCGAGGGCTATTTGAGACCGACCGCCTCGCCCCGGGCATCATCTGTGCAACAAGGACCTCCGCTGCCGCATCCTCCACCGGCAGCCCGCATGCTTCCATTTGTGGCCACAGAGAAGGACTGCCTTGGCGAGGATGGCCAGGCAGCGGAGTGCACGATCTGTATGGAGGACTACGAGGTTGGGCAGACCCTGGCCCGCCTTGAATGCCTGTGCAAGTTCCACAAGCACTGCATTGTTGATTGGTTTGAGAGGAAGATGGAGTGCCCTGTCCACAAGCTTTCATAATAAGGGGCACATCTATCTTGTGTCAAGTTCAAGAGATCTTCTTTTTTGTTACTTTAGCCTAGCTTTTTGCTTTTTCTACCTTCTGGTTTACGGCGTCTGTGAATTTTGTTTCTGATATCCCCCGCTCAGCGTACGGATCCCAATTGAGATATAATGATCGATGAATCTAATCCAATCTCAATATAAAATCAGTAAGACGTAGATGATAATGTGTCCACCTTGGTAGGATTATGGTCACGTGGCGCCTAAGATGTTAGTTGAAACTCAAAATCAAAAGCACTTCACTTCACTTCTGGTCCCAAAGTGACAAACGAGCCAAACAGGACTAAGTGATATTCTGAGAGAGAGAGAGGTAAGCATACTTATACTTGTTGTATTCATTCCCCTTGACAAAACCCACCCCGCCGAGGCATGTTGATCCTCCACATCGGTGATCGGTGTTTGTGATCACCGTTCTCCGTGTATTTCTCCCGTCGCAAAGCCCCAAGAGCTGGCAGCGATCACGACATACTCCGTAGAAACAATGACAAAACCCAATAATTACGCTAATGACGAATTGACGCTAATGTATAACAGCGATTTGGTCGTTGAATTGGTATTACAACCCCGCACTGAATGGAAATCGACCCGCAGCTGCAACACACGCGAGACGGGGAGCCTCAACGGCCTTTTTACACGCCGACCCGACCGACAATGGGCACAGGCCCGGAATACCCGGAGCCACCCTCCCACGCACCTCTGAACCCTTACCAAAGCCGGGATATACATAGCGATGGGCACGGGCACGGCCATGGACACGGGGACACGCACCCATCATTCGGGATGGGTCCAGACAGCAATCAGTCTCCAGAGCCGCACGACGGATCAGGCGACGTCAAGCGGTCGCGGGCGTGCGAGCCCTGCCGACAGCTGAAAGTGCGCTGCGACCCAGATCCAACGCACCCGGAGGGGTCGTGCAAGCGGTGCGCGAAAGCGCGACGGACATGCGTCGTGACGGCGCCGACGCGCAAGCGACAGAAAAAGACCGACAGCCGGGTAGCGGAGTTGGAGCGGAAAATCGATGCTCTGACGGCGACGCTGCAGGTGTCGAATTCAACTGGTGCGCTGTTCTCTGGTGGGGCGGGGCATCAGCCGTCACCGTCTGGACAGCGGGATGAGCAGCTGGTTGGTCGGAGGTGGATGGGTGGGGAGTCGAAGCTAGCCGGGAGCAAACGGCAGCATACCGGCGAAGTTAAGGATTCGTCTGGTGGGTTGCTAGCGCCACGGTATTCGCGGCCGGGTAGTCCATCTGCGGAACAGATTCCTAGCCATGCATCGAAGCATTGGCGTAGACCTGTTGGTGGTGATTCTGCACCGCCGCCGAAACCCGAGGCTAGCAATGAGTTTGCTGATATGATCGACCGGGGGATTATAGATTACACCACTGCCAACGCGGCGTTTGAGCGGTATATCTACCAGATGGCACCAGAGATGCCTTTTGTTGTTTTTCCCGCCGGGGACTACGATGAGCGAGGTTCGACGCAACAAACCTCATTTGTTCCTTGCGATCATCGCCGCTGCTGTTGGCGTCTTTAGTCCCGACGCACAGCTGACCCTCGTGAATGAAACATATCGTTTGATCGCTGAGTTTGTTGTTATCAAAGGCCAAAAGTCACTTGAGCTGGTTCAGACTATCTTGATATGTTCTATCTGGTATCTGCCACCAGATAACTTCGACGAGATCAAGTTCTATTCTTTGACGCATATGGCTGCGGTCATGGCGATGGAACTTGGATTGAACCGCCCCATTTCTGGAAATAGACGGAGCTTCAATATGATCCGCGAACTGATCATGAAAAAGCCAACGGGTCCGGCATTTGATCCAGATGGACCGGAGGCAAGACGGACTTGGGTTGGCTGCTATTACTTACCTGTCCAGTGAGTATTAGGCCGGGTTGTTGTTGTGTGGGAATCAGTAACTAACCTTTGATAGGATGTCGGCGGCTCTGAGGAGAGTACATTTGATCACCTGGCAACCGTACATGGATGAGTGCCTTGATATTCTGGAAAAGCACCCGGATGCCCTGCCCTCCGACCGGAAATTGAAATGGTGGGCAAAGCTGGGAGCGATAATGGAGGATGCTGGGCATCGCTTTTCTGCGGATGATCCCGGGTCCATTTCTACCTTCGCGGACAGTAATGCGTGGTATAATATAAAATTGCTTGAAGGTCGATTGGCGCAGTGGAGAGGAGAGGTCCCGGAGGAACTTTACACTGGTAAGCCCTGGTCTTAAGAATAATCTTTGATTTTCTGGCTGACATTTCTCTAGGAGCAATGGTTCACACAGAACGTGTCCTGAATCTCTTCGTACATGAGTCTGCCATGAGCGTGGACTACAACACAGGCAACAATTCTCCATCTCAGAATGAGTTGCACACGTCATCAATTGCGGCGGTTATGGATACGCTGACTACAGCCATCCGCTGCATTCACGAAAGTCTGGATACCATTTGCGCCATTGAGATTGACCAACTTATATCTTTGCCTACGACATCATTAGCGCGGACGACGTATCCCGTGGTCAGTTTGATAAAGATATACTCACTGTTCATGTCGCCGGACAGCCGAATCGGGCAGATTCTCGACGTGCAGAGTCTTAAACTGGATTACTATCTGGATAAAGTCATCGCACATTACCGTGCCGCCGCGGCGCGTGATGGTGGCCGTGGAGCGGCGAAATTTGGAAACATAATGGTGCTGTTACGCAATTGGTTTATTAAAAAGCGTGACCAGGGAGATCATGGTCGGGAATTAAAAGAGGCTTTTTCAAATGATCAGAAACCCTCCGATCGCCGACAGACACATCGGGGCCATGATACTCCGACCGCGGCAACTGCCAATTCAAGAGCGCAGATGGCACCGGGCATGACACCCCTCCATTTCCTCAGCGAAGTAGCCATGGGTGACCCAGCACACCGATCGAATAATCCCAATCCCCAGCGTTCGATAACCGGACAATCTTATTCCTCAACCCACAGTCCGAATTCAACAGTCAACCCAATGACAACGCCAGGATCATCCAGTTTCGGGCCAGACCCACCCCAAACCAGCTGGTCTGGCGCATCATACTCAACCAGTCTCCCGAGTTCAGACAACCAAATCGAGACAAGAGGTTTCTATCAACCCTATCCATCCACGGAACTCACACAGAACTACCCAGATCTACCGTCAAGTACGCAGACTCAAGGATTCCCGGACATGTCCACCGTGGCTGGGATGCAACTTGCTCCTCCGATGGGAATGGCACCTGATGTAGGCATGGACCCGAATGTCACTGATCCTTGGTTTACGTTGGGGACTATGATGGATGATGGATTGTTTACATTCCCACTTTCTTTGGATGGGAATTTCGGATTATTCTAAAGCCTGGGTTGTGGTTTAGTTGGGTGTTTTGTATTCTCCTCTGTTGCTCTATTATACCCGTTGCTATTTTGAATGTATATCAACTTTACTCATCTTGCAAAATGTATTATCTTCGAAATAAAAAACACTAGAGAAGCTATGCCTTTCGCATTTGGGTGAAGTCAAGGCAAACTACGAACCACCATGGATGTCCATTGATCACCGAATAAAATACCCCAGGACATTATCTAACTCATAAACACCCATGGATAACTTGTTATTCTAGTCGAGACATATAGCCTGTATCTAATGCCTACATATGTTTGATATGTGTTAGTATCATCTGTTGATCGGCAATGGGGTTGCTTCCCCGCAAATGCGGGGAATGTTTCCCGATTTCGAGATATTTCGACGAGGGAAATTTACCCCGTCTCTGCACAGGCAACTGATCTGATCTAACTCACAAGACAACAAGACATGGTTGATCATTGGATGCTTGGGTCTGCACTTTGAACCTTGACACGGTCAATATGGGGAACCGAAGATGTCATTCCTTTTGGGTAGATTTGCTCCCAATCCACAAGGCAAGAGGCGGAGGGGACGACGACCCATGGATGATATATAAATCAGTGCTATCCTGCGTGCCAGCACCCTAAGCATTTCCAATTTCTCAATTAATCTTTGCTCGAGACGAATCAATTCGGACAAAGACTTGTTGCTTCTAGACGTGGCATTCCACTGCTTTGCACAGTCTATAATCCCAACTCAACCTCCTATCATCTTCCACACAGCATGATCACTGTATTGACGGCCATCTCGGCTGCTCCCTATGCAGCTGGGCTAGGCTTGTTCCTTCTTGGATATTTCCTCGTCTTCCCTTATATTGAATATCTTCGGGATCCAAAAGGTATTTGCCAGGAAATTAGTTCAATGCTTTGCTTGAACATACTAGGGCAACTGCTGACCGACTCATCCAGGCCTGAGGAGATACCCAAATCTCACCCCCTTCTCCGGATTCTCAGCAGTGCCATTCATGATCATGGCTTCGCGTGGTTTCCGGTCAATGGAATTGGCCGAGTTGCACAAGAAGAACCCCGTCATTCGAACAGGGCCAAACCAGCTGTCTTATGGTGATGTCAAGGCCATAAAAGACATCTATGGTCATAGTACCAAGTGTATCAAAGATGGATCGTATGTGATTACCTCTGGAACCCACTACAATCTGGCAGATGTTGTGGATAAGCCCGATCATGCCCGAAAGCGCAAGGTCCTCTCTGCTGCATATGCCCTTAAGAACCTGGAGACGTGGGAATACAAAGTCACCGACAAGGTCCAAAGAATGTTCAAGCACTTTGACCAAGTTTGCACTGCACCTGCCTCTGCGGATGTCTCATCTGGAAAAATTGCACCTGATCAGAAGGACCTCACACTTGACCTCCGAGCGTGGACCAACTTCTTCACCCTTGATGCAATTGCCGACATTGGTCTCTCGGAGAAACTAGGCTTCTTGGATTCCGGTACTGATGTTTGCATCGCCGAAAGGAAGGATGGTTCAACTTACGAGACGAACTTGCGTGAAGCCCTCTACCCAACAGCTCGAAAGCAATCCCTCATCGTCTGGAACTACCAATGGTATCCCGTTGTCAACAAACTAATCAACGTGATTCCATTCTTTAACCGAATGCAAACATCCGCCGACAACTGGGAAAATATCATGTGGCGCCGGGGCAATGAAAGACTACGACGGTATGAAGCCGGCGAAAAGCTCGAGGACTTCTTCCAGGCTCTGATGGAAGACAAGAACGGAAACCCCAATAACCTCGAATGGGGCGAGGTGGTTGCCGAATGCAACATCATGATGAACGCCGGTAGTGTGACTACGGCCGTTGCCATCGCCAATGTCATGTACCAGCTCCTCCGCAACCCTCGAACCCTAGCTAAGCTCCGAGCGGAGCTTGACGCGGTTCTCGATGAAGACGAGGTTGTAGCCGATTACGACAAAGTCAAGCATCTGCCCTATCTCCGAGCGTGCTTGGATGAATCTCTACGAATCTTCCCACCGACATCACACGGCCTTCCACGTGAAACACCTGCCGAAGGTACAAATATTCTCGGTGAGTGGGTTGCCGGTAAGACGACAGTGAGCATGTCTGCACTCGTGGCACACCGTGACGAGAGTGTGTTCCCAAATGCAGACCAGTATATTCCTGAGAGATGGCTCGGAGAAGAAGGCAAGGCATTGCAGCCGTATTTGATTGCCTTCTCTGCTGGTGCTCGGTCTTGCATTGGTCGCAATATCTCATATCTGGAGCAGACTAAGGCTGTTGCTTCTATGGTGCATCGGTATGAGTTTGCTCTTGCTTATCCCGGTTGGGAATTGAAGCGGTTGGAGACGATGAATTTGATTTTGGGTGATATGCCGGTGAAAATTTGGCGTCGGGATTTGGGGACTGAAGTATAGAGATATCATTTTGACCAGGATTTTCTATTTTTAATTATATCTTCTTACTAGACCTTCTTTGATGAATATATTGCCAATATGACGAGCTTTACAACTGAACATTACATCTATACGGGGATTGATCGGCGGAGAGCAGTACGCTAATAGTTCTCCACTATTGGGGTCCCCGTTTTTATTTTGAAATCCCGACCTGTAATTGGTCGATAGTAGAAAACGAATGCGAACTTCCCAATCGGGGCTGCATGAGGATACTTCATAGAGCTGGTCACCCATACACTACACATCCAAATTTCCATTTGTTGTGGTTCGTGAATGGGTTTCGTACTGCTCCACAGTAATTGAATATAAAGGTCAACAGGCAAGCTCATCCTTTTCTCAATAACTCCTTCGTTTAATTTCTTGTACATACCTACTCTTGATATGGCGGACCCGTCGCAGAAGATCTATCAGTCCTGGCCGAGTAGCCCACCAACATATCAACAAGCCAATACAGATGGACATGATCTTACGCAAAGCCGAGAATGGAACTATTCTCTATTTGACTGCTGTTCTCCTGGCACGCTTTGTAAGTTGGCACCCATGCGTATGATTGTTAGATGTGATTGCAGCTAACTAGCCACAGGCTTAAAAAGCTGCTTTTTGCCATGCCTGACATATGGAAAAACTCAATCCAGGTCCAAAGATCCTAGCTTGGGCAGTTTTAGCTATGTGAACAGTCCTGTAAGTCTCCCTTGCAGCCATCCTGACGAGAACACCTATTTAACCATCATCTCCATCTCAGTGCGCGATATGGACCGTACTTAGCCTGGGATGCGTTCAGTGGATCATGCAAACTATTACCCGAGGAGAAATGCGAGAAAAATACGGCATTGAAGGATCCTGTTGTGGCGATTGCTGCGTATCAGTTTGGTGTGGCTGCTGCGCTTTGGTTCAAGAAGAGAAAGAGATGGAACTCCGAACGAGACCTCAGCTTTCTGGCTACCAGAATCCGGGCCAAATGTCCTACCCATAAGCCAATTTTCTTTTCAGAGGTGTCTGCTACATCACAAGACAGACCAGGGGACTGGATCACCATTTTGCTTTGCCCATTTCTTTCTTCGTTTCTACTTTCTAGGTTTTATTTTCGATGCCTTTTGGGTTTCTCTCTTTTCTACTGTCAGATTGATTACATAAGAGCTTTTAATGTAGGTAACTGGCCAAAATATCATAACAAAACATGTGCTGTTCTTTCCCATATATATATCATGCCATATTTGTTAGGGAGACCATATGCCCGGGTTGCTTGATCTTCTTCGATGAGAGAGATCATTCTCTCACGTCGACTTAAGAGTAACTCTGTAATGAACACCATGAGGCCGTTTAATCCTCGTTTCTCTGCCCTGCTTCGCAGGAAACCGTTCCCCATGCCACCTCCCGGGCCACGCTTACCCCCCGACATATTCGTTGACGAAGAGATCTCACCAGTATACGATTCCAAGTACTTCTACCCAGTGAGACCTGGAGATGTACTCGCCGATCGTTACCAAACCTTGATCAAAGTTGGTTGGGGCGTGTCTTCAACAGTGTGGCTCGCACATGATTTGCAAGGGTAGTCTTCGATGATTCCTTCAATCCAAAGCTCTTTGTCTTTTCTCTGACAAATATACAGACATATCGACACGCTCGAGAACATCGTGGCGTTGAAAATTGCCAATAATAATGCGAGCTCCGCTAGTCATGAGCGCGATGTTGAAGAGCATATTTCCACAGCAGACCCATCACATCGCGGTCGCTCACATATCCGAACATTACTAGACTCCTTCGAAATTAGAGGCCCAGAAGGTTCTCATTGGTGTCTTGTGTATCCGCCTATGAGGGAGCCACTGTCGATGTATCAGAGGCGCTTTGAAGGCAGAAAGATGCCACTGCCTCTCATCAAAACACACATTCGTACTCTTCTTACGGGGCTTGACTATCTGCACAAAGAATGCAGGACAGTTCATACAGGTATGTTTATCTTCGGCCTTCCTTCCTATCAGCAATACTGAACCAAGATGGTTACCTAGATCTAAAACTTGAGAACATTATGGTGTCATTCGAGGATCCAACCGTGCTTGCTGATTTCATAGATTCTCAGCTTGAAACACCAATGGCTTTCAAGATTGATTCAACGGGACGACCAGTGTACCAGTCCCATAATAACTTCGGGCCGCTCAAAAGCCCGAGAAGTATACCCCAGCTTGTCGACTTTGGCTTGGCAACCAGACTGGAAGAAGACGACGACTGGGGCGTTTGGCCTATTCAGCCAGATCACTATCGGGCGCCAGAGGTGATTTTGGGTAACGGGTGGCAAATGTCCGTGGATATTTGGAATCTTGGTGTTCTAGTACGTCCTATCATTCTCCAGAGTTGTTGCATCTAGTAATGCCAGACCAGTTGTGGGATATGATCGAAGGAAAAGAGCTATTTCGGCATATTCATGATCAAGATGGTCGCTACGATGCTAAACTACACATCGCTGAAATGATCGCCTTACTCGGCCCACCCCCTCCAGAAATCATACAAAGGTATCAATGCATGCGAGAGTACTCGTGGCCGGAACATGTCAGACGAGAAGACGGCAGAGTATGCGAGACTGTGGAGGAGTACTTCTGTGGGCCATTCTTTGACAGTAATGGTATTACTGTGTTTCCGGTCTCGAACGAATTATTCTCAGACTCACGAAATATCTTAGGTTGCTTCCTCTACGAGGATCTTATCCCCGATCGCAAACTAGACGCCACAGCCTCCTTCCTTGGGGAAGAGGAGAGGGGAGCGTTTCTGGATTTGGCCAAGGGAATGCTTGTCTGACATCCAGATGCGAGAAAGACGGCAGGCGAACTGGCGGGGCATTCTTTTCTTCAACCGAACGAAACAAGCGCTTAATTCCTGTGGGGGTTTACAAGCGAAATGACTCGACTTCGTGGCCGATCCCAGTTCGGCGAGACCATGAGGGGCGTGTTCTAAAAATTGCTAGCCATGCTTGTGGTATATATAATTGTGTTTTCTTTCTCCTATAGTCTTAGGCCCTAAACAGCGAAGCTTGGTTCTTGTTAGTACACATAATAAATGGCCACGTATTGAAATATAGGTGCCAAGAGGGAGTGAAATCAATGTGCTTTACTTTTTGGATATTTCCCCCACATGTGTGTAGCTAGAATATAGGTGAAACAACTTTCTTCGCACTCCCACGCTGGTGTAAAGCCATGAGAGAGAAAGGATATAATCCCCGCCCTGGCTTGGAGGGGTAGATGCCCGGGCAATATTCCCACTTCGGGACATTCTTATTAGGGTTGTGATGTTCATTCCAAAGTGGATTACCCCGCGATATCTCCCCCGCAATTTACAGGGGGATTCTCATCGAATGGGCCTTTCTCATTGCCCATCCACGTGGATCATGGCCAGCTGCGGTGAATATAACCCGATTCGTGATGTCTTCATAGATCCAAGTTGCGCACTTTTGCCCGAGATCCATGTTCCATACTGAGAATTAGACATAATCATTGCCACTTTGGGTTCAAAAGCCTATGTCATGGCCATGATTCCCCAATTTCCACTTGACATGCTTAGTACGTGTAATATAAAAGCAGGGTGCTCCCTCTGTGCATAATTGAACCCCCTCACAATATCCACAAGCCTGTCTTTGACCATGGCGACTTTCCCACTCAATATCCCACCGGAGCTCTTGCAAGAGCTCTCAAAATACACCACACCTACAGGACTAGCCGATTATGCTGCCCTGGCCCTGCTAGGTGGAATTGGAGCCACATACCTTTCAAAAGGGCGATTATGGGACAAACCGGATCCATTACACCATCTCTGGTACGAACGACCTCAGCTAAAGAATGGTGGACAAGCTAGCTCAGCCAACAAGGAGACACGCAACATCGCACAGAAACTAGAAGAGACAGGCAAGAATATAGTGGTATTCTGGGGGTCTCAATCCGGCACAGCAGAGGGTTTTGCCCACCGTCTGGCCAGGGAGATCTCCATTCGCTGGGGTCAAGAAGCTATGACTGCTGACCTCTCCGACTATGACCCGATCACCATCAGTGAAATCCCCAACGCCAAGTTGGCTATTTTTATTGTTTCTACATACGGTGAAGGAGACCCTAGTGACAACACAGCGGAATTTTGGAGCTGGATCTCCAAAGCCACCGAGGTCTCGCTATCCAACTTGCGATATGCTGCCTTCGGTTTGGGAAACACCAACTACAAGTTTTACAACAGAGTTGTCGATGTTATAGTTGAAGGTTTGGACAAGTTCGGTGCACAAACCCTTCTTCCTGTTGGGAAGGCAAATGATGCAGAGGGGGCAACGGAGGAAGACTTCATGTCATGGAAAGAGGATCTTTTCACAATCTTCAAAGACAAGTTGGGATTCCAAGAGGCCGAAGCCAAATACATCCCGAGCTTGAAAGTCGAGGAAGACGAATCTCTTGAGCCTATCGATCTGCATCATGGCGAACCCAACAACCGTGTTGAGGCTCCAAAGGCAGCAGCCCAATCCTCAGCCATCCGTACTTTAAGCGTTTCAGACTCTAGGGAACTCTTCACTTCGTCCAACCGCCACTGCCTTCACATGGACATCGACCTAACCAGTCAGCCAGAGCTAGGGTACAAGACTGGAGATCACCTTGCTATCTGGCCCGGAAACCCGGATATTGAAGTTGAACGACTACTCGATGTTCTGGGGATCTCCTCGCGCCGCGATATTCCACTTGGTATCAAGGCACTTGACTCGGCAACCAAAATCACAATTCCAACCCCGACCAGCTCCATCGCCATTTTCCGCTACTACCTCGAGATCTGCGCCCCCGTCAACCGCGATACCGTTCGCGATCTGGCACAATTCGCACCCACCCCGGAAGCAAAGGCCTATCTTCTCGCGCTCGGCCAAGACAAGGACGCATATGCCAAATTTATCAGCCAAACATATATCAACCTCGGCCGACTGTTGCAACTGGCTTGCCCCGACAGACCTTGGGATAATCTTCCACTCTCATACCTTGTCGAAACACTACCTCACATCCGACCGCGATTCTATTCCATCTCATCCAGCAGCGTGGTCTCACCCCGCAAACCTTCCATCACAGCGATCGTATCAACAACCCCCCTCCCAGAGAACCCCAACGAGCTCATCCACGGTGTAACATCCAATTACCTTCTCGCCATCTCCCAGCAAGCCTGCTCCCAGTCCCATCCCAGTGGAATCACCTACCACCTAAACGGCCCCAGTGACGCACTCCAAGGCGGCAAAGTCTTTGCTCATATCCGCCGAAGCAAATTCAAACTCCCAGCTCTGGGAAAGACGCCATTGGTCATGGTTGGTGCCGGAACAGGGATTGCGCCTTTCCGGGCATTCTTATCAGAGCGGTGTCAACTTTTGAAGATCGGCAAGGAGGTTGGTGAAATGATTCTGTTCTTTGGATGTCGGAACCCGAATGAAGATTACATCTATCGCGAGGAATTGGAAGAAATGCAAACAGTGTTGGGGGATCGGTTGCGTATTGTGACTGCCTTCTCTCGATTGGAGGGGACGCCTCGTCGGTATGTCCAGGACCGGGTTGCTGAGTTCGGGGAAGATGTGATTCGAATTATCGATGAGGGTGGTAATATCTATGTCTGTGGACGTGCTGGTATGGCTCGTGAAGTTGAGAAGGTTGTTGGGCAGAGTATGAAGGGTGCTAAGGGGTGGAGTGATGATGAGGTGAATGGTTGGAGTAAGACGATTAAGAAGAAGAATAAGTGGCAGGAGGATGTTTGGGGATAGGGTTTACATGAAGACTGCTTATATTAGTGAACATAATTACAGTTACCTTTTCTAACGATGTGAAATCCTGAGTACATGTATACAGGTGACTAGCTCTACAATTGAAGTGGAGTGAGTAAACACCCCTAATGTATTCCGTGGGACTTGTAAGTGACTATAATGCCCAAACGCTTAGCCACTTGTCAAAGAACACACACGAGAAAGCCCCGTTTGATTTGGGCGTGGATCTGCATGGGCCTCAACAATGTTGATGTCTCATGCATAGGCACCCGGGTTGCTAAGAGACCCTCCCCCTATGCTATCGCATGGGGGCTACGGCGAGGAGTTGAGTGGGAGAGGGTTGGAGGGAGAAGAGAAGAAGAAGAGGAAGAAAGGTGGGAGAGGGCCTTTTATATGACCACACCCCAGGTTCCTTCCTAAAATGAACATTCTCCAACGCACCTTCCGGGATAGTCCCATGTCGCATGTCACATGGTACCAACATCCCCTAAGTATATAACCAGACCACCTAGGCCACCTACAAGTAACTCCTTGATTATATCAACTTAAATCAACATCTCATTGGAATCTATATGATCGTCTCGGATAATTCCATTCTCCGCAGCTCCGTAGCTACAACCTGAACAGGTTCGCAAACAGGATCCACTATACATCTCGCGTCCCAAAACATCACAATAATATCCAATAATATATAAATCTCTGGGCCTGCAGTTATTAATTTGACCTGCGTCTAGTCAAAATGACCCCTCATGACCCCAAGCGCGTCGCTAGTATCATGCTCTCAAAGCACTCACTCGACCTCGTCTCATGCACCAAGCTCCAGACCCTATGGGCCGGTTATGGCCAAATATGCGCCATAACAGCGCGAGCCACCACCACCAAAGCAGCCGAACATCTCAGCAAGCTGTATGGGGTAGAACCAGGCATTGCGGGGACGACATACCCGCTCATCCTAAAGCTCATCTCACCGCCCCAAAAAAGCGGCAGCACTGCCGATGAGGGCCACCTACGAAAAATGCTGAGCTACGAGGTAGAGCAGTACTTCTATAGCGAAGTAGTCCCGCAACTGGGCGACGACATAGCCATTGCAAAATGCGTTGCCTCGACGCGTGACATGGATGACGCGGAAGGCTCGTCGGAACTGAAAGGTCTTATGGCTACCATCATGGTCGATCTGCGTCCTGGATTCCCTGTCGCGGGCGAGAAAAGGGGTGCATTGAATCGCACACAGGTGCGCGCGGCGCTAGACTGGTTAGCTGGGTTCCACAGTCGCTCACGGGGACTGGTGTCAGCTAGTCTTGACGAATATGTTCAACCGCCGCTTGAAGAAAGCAGTAGAAGGCAGAGCGCAGGCAAAGATGTTGGCAACGGGTTGTGGTTGAATGGGGGATATACGTACCTCGCGACACGGGGAAAAGAGTATGCATCTCTTGCGCGGGACACAGACTCGGAGTGGTCAGATGTACTTTGCGGGGTCTCCGGAGGGAGGTCCCTCTCTGTGGCGGAGATGGTTGCATTATTCTTAACACCCTGTGGAAGGGCGATTGAGTCTTATATCCATGGCGATGTCAAGTCGGAGAATCTTTTCACGACGACTAATGGAGACAAGGTGGCGTTCTTTGATTTCCAGTACGTCGGACTCGGTTTGGGAGTCTGTGACCTTGCCAAATTGTTTACCTGCTCGGTCCCTCTGCATATGCTAGTTGATGGCAATGGGAGTTTTTCCGAGCAGCTGTCGATGTGTGATGGTGAGAGGGGACTGCTTGAGCGGTATCGTATGAGTCTCCTCCAGGATGAGGAGTCGGAAGAATCGGAATTATATGAATGGGAAGCATTTAAACGACACTGGGAGACAGCTTTGGTTGACTGGTGTAGATTCCAGGCTTCGTGGGGATTTTGGGGGAATACAGAGTGGCTTGAGGCCCGTGTAAGATCTATCGTGAATGATCAGGAGTGGAGGGATTGGCTGTATCAGAATATCCGGAGTCGGATATAGGATCTCTATTTATAGATTAGAAAATAATAGGCTCTTACTATC